CCTTCGAGATGCCCTTGGCGGCAGACTTGAGGATAGCATTGGACTTGCCGTCCTCCCAGCCGGGGATATCGCTACAGCCGAGCTCGCCTTCGCCCTCGCCTTCCTGGAGGTTATCGTCGGCGAAGCCGCTGCCAATCCATAGCTGGCCACTCAGGCCCTTGGAGGGAAGGTTCGGACCGAAGGCGGCAGGGCGGGCGACAAAGGAGGTGCTGTTGTCATCGGTCAGGCTGATGGCAGCATTCGGTGTAAAGATTGAGAAGGGCGCTGTGAAGGAGAAGAATGTCGTAAATCGTGATTGCGGGACAGCGGCCGGGGCGATTACGGTGTTGGATCGCGCCAGCGATGTGACGGAGCGGCAGAAGAGGAAGAGGGAGGCGGCGAAGAAAAGGACGAGGATGGCGATTCTCGGAGTACGCATGATTGGTATCGTAACGGGTCGTTATAGTGTGTAAAATAAGGAAAGGAGAGGTCGAAGCTCCTGATCGTGTGTCGAGGAGATGAGGCAACGGAGAGTTCGGAGCACGGCGCGAGGGCCGTCCGGTAAATCGTGCAGTCGAATGTGGTGACTGTAGGCAGGAACGATGGTTGAAGTTGTCGACGGTCGAGCAGCTGCTGGCAGTGGCTCAGCGGCGGACTGCACAGGTGCCGATCATGCGCGGAATCATGTGCGATGGGAAGCCGCAGGTTGTGGTGACGATGACGAGGCTGAAGGCGATGGAAGGAGGGGAGAGAGTGTCTCGCTCGAGGTTGGATGACAAAGGCGGATGCGGCCCTCTGTGGTCGCCGGGAAGGGTCGGGTCAAGGAAGGAGAGAGGGTAAAGGAGACGAAAAGGAGACTGGGCGTAGAAGTTGGGGGCGGGAAAAAATGGTGATGACGGAGATGTCGATCAGGATATTTTGCAAAGGCAGAAAGAAGTCAGAAGGTGTGTTCGCAAGATGCACGCAGCGCGGAGCGGTGCAGCGGCGCCATGCAGAGACAGGAACCGGAGGCAGACGCAGCAGCAGCAGATGGACGGCTCGCAGCAAGGTGAAGGAAGCAGGGACAAGAACTCGGGTGACGAGTGGAGACGGGAGGGCGAGTGTGAGGTTGCAGCAGCAGCGGGTGGCGGGGCAGTGTTGTTGTTTAGGTGCCGGGGCCTTCTGTCTTTTTGGTGCTGTGACTGCCCGAGGGCAGCCGTGGAGGACGTGGTGGAGGTCAAGGAAGTCACTTTTCCTACAGTTGGCCCAGCACAGTGACACACACACACACCACCTGGACCACACAATGACGGCCGGGCGGGGGGGCACCTCACGGCAGGTCAGGTACCTCACGGCAGGTCAGGTACCTCACGCTGTGCTTTAGGCATGGGTGGAGTCGCCTCGGGGGTTTAGGGGCCCTGTCTGGCTGAGGTCGGCGTCGGTGGGCGCATCGGGAGAGGTGAGGTCTCGGGGGTGATGGTACATCCCTTTGACCCCGAGAAGCCACTTTTAGCGCGACTTGGCTGCAGCCGGCAACGGCCTATGAGGTTGAATTGGCAGCTGGCACATCAGCCAAACAGCTCTTCTATCAAGCTGATCTGCTTACTTAACGAGGAAGCCTGCTCCACTCGCCGGTAAAAGCACGCTAAAAGTGGCTTCTTGGGGTCAAAGGGATAAGGTAGACTGTGGCTGGAGGACGCGGGCCCTCCATTGTTCTTCTGGCTGTCACTGGCCCGTCCCTCGTGCGCTGTTTCCTCCTCTCCGTCTGCGGATGGCACCATCCAATTCGATCCAGCATTCCAGTCCAAAGCAATAAAGCCATTCTCGGTTTCGACCGGCATTCTGACTTGCTCGGCGGGTGGGCAATGAGCTCACCAGCTCACCATGCATCAACCCAAGCAGGACTCATGAACAGAGGCCATGAATAAGGGCCCGCAACCGTCACCGTCACTGACTGACAGATTTTTCTCTCCCGACACAGGGGCACTTTTTGACTTTTCTCGTTTCCTGCCATCCTGGTCGCAACCCCGAAAAAGATGTCCCTACCGACGAATGCAGGCAAGGTACGGCAGACACAGATTCAATGGGAGCAAGCACCGGCCAACAGACGCACCCAATGGCCAGTGTCAGGATAGCAGGGGCACGCCGTCCCTCGGCCGGCTTTGGCGGCACGCTCAAGTCGCACTTGGCCGTAAGGCAACAGCACCGTCGCCCCCAATGTTGGCTCGGCTGGGCCACCGGTGCCAGTGCCGTCTTGGTATTGTTCAGATTGTATCCAAGTCTTGGGAGGTCTTGCTTTCTGGTCTTTGGTGGGCCGGCGCGTGTATAAAAAGGTCGAGTCCACTGTCCAGGAGTGAGTAGTTGGCAAGAGGTCTCCGCGGGATGAGATGCGATGCCCACGCTTCCGCCAAACAACCCCCCCGATTCCCCACCTCGAATGCTTCACCATTCAGGGCGCGGTGAGAGATTCAGTCGCGGCCGGAGGTGTGTGGGTGCCGGTCCTGTCAGACTTGACGCCGGCCGCCACAATCGAAATGAACCGGGCGGGTGACTGGACGAGAGGGCTGTTTACAAGCGCCAGTGCCGACGGCTTCTGCTCTTTGTTTCACCATATTTGATGTCCATCTTGTACTCGTATCCATTCATGACATTCTCCAGCCTTTGCGTGTATTAAATACAGTTTGTACGAATACATGCATCTCACTGTCGAACAGACGGGAAATGAAGGTGACGAATCTGTGTCCCCATACTCCATCCCAAGGCAGTACAGTACGTTGAGGCTGAGCGACCCTTCTCCAACCTTTCCTTCTCTGCCTCCAGGGGGGAAAAACACCAACCGCGCTATCAATGACCTCACAACGACGCCGGCGCATGGACAACCCCTCGTGACCAAAAAGTTTCACTCGGCCACTGTGTGTGTGTGCTACCCAGTCAGTCAGTCAGTCAGTCAGTCAGTCAGTCACCTCGCCTCTGCTGATGGCTTGACATGGTCTAGATCCATGCAAAGAAACATCTTCCTCTGGCTGAATACCCAACTCAACCGCCATCACTTGCATCCCCAAACAACCAACATTGAAGCCATCTACTAGATGCACATCTGCAACCTCCCGCCCGCAACAGCCGTGTGTAAAGTGCATGCATGAGTCGCAATGCTACTCCGAGGATAAGCTTCAACGACAACAATCGTTCCCCCGTCTCACGTGTCCACTAGATCCCCAAAACCCTCCAACAATCCCACCGCACGCGACACGTCGACTATCATAGCGTCTCACCACCAATACCCCAACGTTGTGATGGTCCCCCTCACTACTCGCGCTCCGACACCACCGAAAACTCAATTCACCCCCGGCGCAGTCCCCTTCCACCTCACATCTACAGCCTCGTCAATTCCGTGCCATTCTATTAGCTCCACAACAGATTTGGCATGAACGATCGCGAGCCACACAAAGCCTCGCACGCTCAGCCTCCTCTCGACGACGTTCTCTCTGCAAGTCATGAAACAAGGAACCACTCAGAACCCATCGACGCCGACGATCACGACCCCCTCCGCCCTGCTCCAATCCGATCTCTCAAAGAATAGAAAAATCAAGAAGAGCCTCCCATTCCCAAGCCCGTCTACAACCTGTGGCTTGCCCAACATCTAACCTACAAGCATTCCTGAAGTCCGCAACCAGCCTCCGTACCTGAACAGCCCATAAAGCAGCCACCCCCGTCATCGTCGCATCCAACACCAGCCTAGCGGGTCCCAAGAACCCCTGCCCGCACCTCAAGAGAGCTACCCTCTTTTGTTTCACATCAAACCCCCTCCCAGTCCCAAGGAGCGAAGAAAGCGCGTATGATCTGCGACCACCCCCTCCTTTGGCGTTTGTTCATGAAACAAGAGACAAGCATGCTGCCCGTTTGCAGGCATTCATTTACCCTCCCAGCCTGCCGTCTGCGGCTTGTGACCAGTGACATCTCCTCTGGACGTATCATCCATTTCAATTCAATTGGCCTGGAGAGGCGGCTCTCGCGACTACACGTGCCAAACTTCAAGCAGCCGCGGACGACGCAGGTAGACTCTGACCTTCAGCCTCATCTCAAGTCTTTCTTTCAAGCATCCGTCGATCTACCGCATCTTCGGACGAAGCCTCGTTGAAGTTGCGCGATACACTTGTGGAGAGCATCTATCTGGTTTCAGGCCTTCTCATTGGACGATCGTGCAAGTGGTGTATCTCTGCTGTTGATGTCTGTCAACCCCCGTCGTCTTCTTCCGTCGCATATGTCCTCATCGTATATGGTCACAGTCAGGCCTTGGCTACTCACTCACTGTCTCCAACGCGGCTGGCCTCCTCACGTCCAATGCAGGCTGGATCTTGTCCCGCAACAAAGTTCATCAAAGCCATGAGAACTGGTGCTGCTCAGTCTTGCGTATCTCCTTAATCCAGGAATACGCCAGTCTCGCCATAATTGGACTCGGCTTTCCGTCTTTCAGGGGTCCGAAGTGTGACTGACTTTTCAGATTGGGTCGGCGCCAAAGATGGGAGTATTCTGATGTTTTCACGCGCTCGAGCGGGATCGCGTTGAGTGGTTGTTACTGTTCGTTATGGCACTATGATTCGAGTTGAAATTGGGCTGCAATAATCTTGAAAGACCCGGAAGGAAGATTATCTTCGTGGAAATGTGGTATTTTCAATGATGTTGCCCACGGCTGCTCATACACAACACCAAAACTACATAAACTCCAGCAATTCTTTGATATCGTGAGAAATGCCCTCGTCTCACAGGTTCAATTAGTCCTCGAACCAAGTCTATCTCAGGCACACCTTCGCCCGCAGTGAGAACACCACCCAAAACTCCCATATCGTCGCTAGATGCCTTTTTCGACTACAAAAAATCATTAATCACAAACAAAAAGATCATTGCAACATGAGGCCGATCCGATATGCAAGAAATGCCGTCCTGTCATGATGTAACCAAACATGCGCCCCGCCAACACCATGCCATAGCAGAAGTACAATCCTATCCCACGTCGCAAGGCGGCCAACCAAACGGTGCTCCCGTCAGTTAAACTCGGAAAACAGCCCGCTCATCCCACCCTCCTTGCCACGATCCCACTCCCTCTTCTCCCCGGCCTTGGCCCATCGCACGTCCCTTTCGTCCTTCTGCTCGCCCGTCCGCCACTTCTTGATCATGTCCTCGCCGTACCCGGCCGCCCGCATCCGCTGCTCCTGGTTCTGCCGCCACTTCTGCCTATCCCTAAAGGCCTCCACGGCGTCGTCCCAGTTCTCCGCGCCGGCGCCGGCTGTATCCTCCATCTCCACGTCCATCTTCGGGTCGTAGTCTGCTTCGAAGCGCTTGTCGATGCCGGACAACGCTGACGCTGCGCCGCGGCCGCGTGATCGTACAGGCTCCGGCGGTGCGGGACCGATGAACTCGTCGAGCGGATCCGAGTCCGACGCAGCGGCGGAATCCTGCCTCTGCGCCGCGCGCCGGCTGCTGCCTTTGATCGAGAACCCCGTCCGCTCCTTGCTTCGTTCTCTCCTCGTCCTATGGTTCGCCGACATCAGATCCTGGCCGTCTCCGTCTTTGCCCTTGCCGCTGCCGAGAGGCGACCTGTGACGATGTCTCCTAGACTTGTCGTCAGGCGAGCGCGACCTCCGCCGGCTGCTCTTATGCCTCCGGCGTTCCTCGCGTTCGGAGTCCGACTCATCCCTGCTGCGGTAATGTCTCCTGCCCCCACGCTCGGGCGACTCGCTCCTCCTGTCCCTGTGCCGTCTACGCGGCGGCGAGCCGTCCTTCTTATGCGACCGCTCGTCCGCCCGTGCAGGTTTCTCCTTGTGTCCGCCGAGAATCGCCTTGATGTCGCCCATCTGTCGCTTGCGGATGTCCTGTGGGCCGGCGCGCTTCCGTCGCTCCTTCTCCTCGGCGTGCTCGAGGTTCTTCAGCCGCGCTTGCGACTCGGCGGCCTCTTTGGCGAGGAGGTTCTTGTTGTGCGTGTTGGTGTCCTTGATGATGTGCCGCAGGAAGCGGGTGTTTGGCTTGGGCATGTTTGCCGGTCTGTCGGGGGTTAGGACCATGCGTATGTTCAGTCGAGGGCTGGTTGGACGTACTTCTTGTCGGAGCGGAACGCCTCCATGCCCATGCTCGAGTATTTCAGCGAGCAGTCGTTTGCTTCCTTTGCGAGGAGCTCGGCGACGTAGTCGTCGGTGAGTACGGTATCGTTCGTCATCGTGTCGGACGTCCTATCCAAAGCCAGTCCAGAGAGCGTGGTCTTATCGCGACCCTTCCGACTATGGCGCGATTCAGGAAGGTGGTGGTAGCATCGAGCGTATGGTGAGGTTGCAAGCGTTTAAGTAGACGGATGACGTGAGCTTGAGCCACCAGCTGCGTGCTTCCGAAGTCGGCAAGGTGTATGGGCAAACGGTGTGTTCAATGAGGCAACTGCTTGAAGTGATTCGGAATGGCTGCGGGGTTGCGTTGAGATGGAGCAAGACGTTGTCGCAAACTGTGGCGGACCGGAGATTGATCGACAGAGCAAGAGTCAATGGAGAAAGACCAGTGGGATGAGTTTCCGATGGGGGTGGCCGTGCAGGACAAGTGCCTTATCCGATAGCGATAACGATAAGAGACCTGGCCTGTGCGTATCCCATTTCGGACGCAAGTAAACAAACGTCACCACACACTGGACCCTGCATCTTGTCGGACAGCGCCAGCAACCTTAGGAGTTCGTCCCTTCATACGCGACATACGAATTGCAAAAGAATCGCAATCAATCTGAGAACTTTCACAATGGACGCGACAAAAGCGGCGCAGGTCCTGCGCAAGATCGAAGACCTCAACGAAAACCACGAAATCTCAATCATCAAGCTCAGCGAACCCATATCCAGCGCGGGCACACAAGAATCACGACAACGAACCTCGGACGCATCCAACGCCTCGCAGGATGCGACGACGCCAGACAGCCTCGACGCCGACCTGGCGCACTACAAGGAGCTCTTCGCCAAGCTGCGTTTCTCCTACGTCGAGCAGGTGACCAAAGAAAAGTTCATCCGCGCCATCGTGGGCGACCCACCTGTGATTGTCACGCCGCAGGAGAACCTCGAGCTGGAGAAGGCGAACCTCGAGGCCAAGGCGCAGCTCAAGACACTCAAAGTGGAGGTGGCGGACATGGTGACGGAGCTGGAGAAGAAGGGCAAGGAGCTCGCGAAGCGATACGAGAGCGTGCAACTGGACACGGCGAAGCTCAAGGAGCTACCAGACAAGATTCTCGACTTGGAGGAAAAGGTCGCGGAGTTGAAGGAGTCACAGGCGCCGGGGCAGAGTCCGCAGATGAACCTGCCATTGGCCAAGACGCTCGAGCTGGTGGACGAGAAGAAGAGGCAGCAGCAGCAGCTGGACCGCGAGCTGGAACAGTTGCAGGCCAGGGTGCCGAGAAAGAGAAAGGAGATGGAGAGATTGCAGGCGGAGTTGCAACCACTAGAGGTCAAGAGGCAGAATAGCAAGGCCGCGGCGAAAGAGGCGCGGAGGAGAAAAGAGGGCGCGGGCGGTGATGAAGATGACCTCGAGGAGCGGGGTCGGTGGTTGAGAGCCAGCGAAGCAGCACTCAAGCAGATGCTGGATATTCAGGGGTGAGGAGCAGTGTTATGCATGTTTGGTTAATTGGTGGACGATGTCATGATTTTTCGTATACCCGCGAGGCAACCTGGAATGCTCGGAATGGACGGCGTTGGCTGGATGAAAGACAATTGAATTGATTCAAGGCTCACAATGTTTATGGCTTCCATCAATTTCACAGTGACAACACAATGCGCGTTGCTTGCACCTGCATTGCGGCCCGTCCAGGCGAGCCAGGCCCCCTCAAAATCATGCAGTGGCCCATGCGCCGCCCAAAACCTTGCTGATTGGCCACAACCTTCAGCACCTATCGCGAAGCCCGGGTCATGTGACTCTGGTGTCCACCCGAGGTTCTGCCGCCCGAGGACCGCAAAAAAGCCCCAGTCGACCAAATTGTGTGCGCTCGGCTAGGGTCTCGAAATTTTGACACCGCGAGACGCTTCTCAAGATTCCTCTGCAAACCAACTAACCGCACCAGCAACCACAGCACCACCATCGTCGACCACCGAATACCGCCAAGATGAGTACGTGACGCCCTGCGATTGCCGTCGTCGTCGTTGCAATCGGCATCGAACGAGCCAGACGACTTTTCGTGTTTATTTCGCGATGGGACGGAAATGCTAACAGTCGCCTGCAGCGAAGGGTACCTCCTCGTTTGGTAAGAGACACAACAAGACGCACGTTCTGTGCCGTCGCTGCGGTAAGTCGAAACCAACGGATTGGGGGAGGAGCGCGAATCCTCCCATGAAATTCTGGCGACGTCCAAGCTGACGAGATGATTAGGTCGCCGCTCTCTCCACGTCCAGAAGCACACCTGCGCTTCCTGCGGTTACCCCTCGGCCAAGACCCGCAAGTGTACGTTTTTTTCCCACACAATTCCCGACGACGCCTCTCCGAAACACCAACATTCGAGATTCCCTCATTCAATCATCAACAAAGAACTCTCAACTACCGAGGACGGATATGCTGACGTAGGAACCAATGCAGACAACTGGTCCGAGAAGGCCAAGCGCAGAAAGACCAACGGTACCGGCCGCATGCGCTACATGAAGGACGTCTCCCGCCGCTTCAAGAACGGCTTCCAGTCCGGCGTCCCCAAGGGCTCTACCGTCCCCGCCTCGGCTTAAACGAAGAACCAAAAACCTTTTTTCCTCCGAGCGGTTTATTCGATGCGTTAACTTCTTCGACGATGGGAATGTAAAGGGTGTCGACATGGGGGTATCTGTGCATTCGGGCAATCAAGGGGGGGAGCAAAAAGGCGTGAGCTGATAAAAACGGATCAATTCCCACGCACGGCACAGTTCGCAACGGGATATGGGCTTCTGGGAAACGAATTCTTTTACCAACGAGAAGAGAAAGCATCAACAATATTTTTGTCTTTTTTCACCCTCATGCGTTCTCCCCCTCGCGCTCCGCTGCTTGGTTGCCCAAGCGAAGGCCAGACAAGTTCAAGACAAAAAAGACAAATCATGAACCAAACGAGCAATTTTGGCAACGGGTGTTTGATGCGTTTGATACCTCTCGTGTGGGAGCATGGGGAAACAGGTCTTGCATGGAATATGGATCATGAAGAGTCAGCCTCTGGCTGCTTGTTGGCGTGATCCCACGCGACTACGGTCTTGCGTGATGCTAATCCCAATGGCATTCTCATGTGCATGCTCCAGGTTGCCTTAAATGTGATGCTGAACCATTGTCGCTTATGCTCTTCCCACCATCTATTTGTGTTCCCTTCGCGTATGTCTGAATCTCGTAAGATCGTTGGATACCATCGTTCAAACCCAGCCACCCAACCTTACTGCCCCCGTCCAAACACCTTGACGCTGCCGTCGCCACCCACAAAGTACAACAGCTCCGCCTCCTCAACCGTCCTCTCCCCATCGCCTCCCGCTGTGACCCTCAAAACACCACTCACATCCCTCGCCGTCCCGGTGTCCAACAGCCTCAGCCCAACCACCATCTCCGCAGCGTGCGCCAGCCCCAGCACAAAACTCGCATGCTCCTTCTCCAACGTCGTCGCCTGCGCGCCGATGAGCGGCTCGTCCGCTGCAACGGTCACAATCGAGGCGTGCACCTTCTGCTCGCCGCGTCAGCGTGACTCATCCAGAAGACAGTGGTTGCGCCCTTACCTCTTGTAAATCGAGCAGCATGTTCTTCACCACCAGCCCGCCGACCTCCTCCCCGGTCGCGGCGAGGAGGAAATCAGGCTGGTCAACCACCAAAACCACCTTGCCGCCGCCGCCACTCACGTCCGCGACCGCCGCCTCGAGCTCGCGCTGGACGTCAGGTATCTTCGCGCCGCGGAGCGTCCTCCGGCCCTTGGTCGGAGGCGGCGCGGCGTTGGAGAAGAGCCCGCTCAGCCCGTCGACGAAGACGAACTTCCCGCTGCGTCCGAGAGTTTCGAGGTCGAGGCCCTGTTGTGGTTTTGTACAGTTAGACTTGTTCCCTGTCCTTTCGCGGTGACATGTCAAGAACCCTGGAGAATCTCAGAGGATAGGAGACGCACCAATCTGCCCGCGCCCTCTTTCCAAAAGACAAAGTCCCGCATGAAGCTCACCAGGACCACGCGCGTGTCGTCCGCGGGCGCTTCCTCTGTCGGGCGGCGGAGGTAGGAGTAGAGGTACCGCAGGACGAGCCAATTTGTGCTGGCGCCGAGGACGCTGGTGAGCAGGATCTGCGCGCACTCCGGCGGGAGGGCGAGGTAGGGCTCCAGGAGGTGCGGTATCCTCGTTGCCATTGTGAGGGAGTGTGTGTGAGGTGAGTTACGAGAATGGATGAAGGGGTGTTCGTCTAAGATTTGAGATGTGAATACCAGGCTGTAAGTGAGTGATGAGTGAGTGGTGGTGTTTTGCGCTGCTGTGGTTGATGGTGGGGTCGCTGGAAAGCACGCTGCACTCAGTGCGCGGGGTGCGGGGCACTGTCAAAGAGGTTGAAAACTCGGACTGGACTTGTTGGTGTAGGTAAAATAAGGTGAGAGCTTTTAGGTATTATATGAAGACATTCAAAAATCAAGACAGCATCCAGACAGACACATCTTTGCTACGCAGTTTCTGCATGTCCCGGTGCCAATCTGACCGCGCCGTCCGCAACGTACCCCGCCATGACAGGGCCCCTCCAAGCCCACGCACCACTCAGAAAAAAAGAATTTGACGGTTCGCCGCCACCGGCAAAAGATTGTCCTCGGAGAGGCTCGAACTCTCGACCTTTGGATATCTCTGTCTGATCACAGAGTCATATTGAATAATATGAGACCAACGCTCTACCGACTGAGCCACGAAGACGGCTTGTTGTGATCGGCGAGGCGGTGGATGAGGTCAAGAAGCGAGGGCACATCGTGCGGACGACGGGGCCGATGAACAACGGGGCTGTGGGGTATCTTCCAGCTTGGATAGGTTTGCACTTTGAATAGCGGGAGTCGTCTGGTTGGTATGTGAGACGTCTGCGTTTGCTCTCATTCGATGGGTGATGCTGGATGAGTTCGGCATTGCTAGAGTGAAAGTGTGAGGATACTAATGAGAAGGGAGGGTCAGTGATGCGTGTATGGTTGTCTCCCGTCATTTGATTTCCCAAGAGATGAGGTCTGACGAAAGCTTTGTTATCCACGAAGTCTAGGAAGTAATCGGGGGTTCGGGGCTGTTTACATCCTGTGAAAGTCCCACGGAGCTGGAAAGACACTGACTGAGGTGCGTGGGTGCTTATTGCGTTTTAGAACAGGTCGGAACTACAATGAGGGACCAGCATAATGTCAAGAGGTGAGCTGCTCTTCAGCCCATCTCCATCCACGCTGTCAGACAACTAAGCAGTAAATGTCATCCTGTGACGATATTGGTCATCATTCGATGCAAAAATATCACTCCTACCTAGGGCCGCAGCTTGCATCTTCACTCCTATGTACAAAAAGGCTCTCATTTATTCACACCCACTTCACTCACCTGAAGATATGCGGAGGCAGAGGGTCTCTCCACACACAGAAAACAGCAAAAATCCAGCTCCCGAATCAAACCACAACCACCCACAGCCGCACAATGCAAAAAGATGCGCCGAGGGGGAATCGAACCCCCGGCTCCCCGACGCTGCTGGATGGCAACGGAGAATTTTACCACTAAACCATCGGCGCGATGACTCGTGATGAGCGATGGATGCTTTGGCCGGGGAGGCGATTATGGAGGCGAGATGCTGGAGCTGCGGGGGGACGGGGCCGGTGTGGGGCTAGTCAGTCCGATGCCCGACGTCTGCGCGGCGGATAGGTGAGGCTGCAGAAGGGGGAATGACTAGGAGCTGGACTGAATGGATTGTTTGAATTTTCATTGAAGTTGTCTTTACGTGTGTTTCTCTTGAAGGGATGTGCTGTGGTGGGAAGTTAGATGGTCGCGGTATGGTGTGGATGGCGTGGATGAGGGGTGTTGAAGGGATGAGACCTGACGGTTGGCCTGGAAAAGCCAGCGACATGAAGCAGTTTGTTGGTGAAACCGCGGTGGATATGAAATTTTACTGTCTAAGTATGAGTTTTGGACGAAATTAATTAACGTTCGAGGTCTTGGTGTATGTTTGTGATTTTTTTCTTTCATTTTTTGTTTTGTTGTAATTCGGTCAAGGAACGCATGAAATGTCGGACTTTCAACCACAATGTCACTCACTACAATCAGTTTTATATTAAACCCTTTCAAAACTATGCTTTATGAAATCTTATCCCAATGCCACAACTTGAATTATATCCTTTCCTACCCTCTGGCTCAATACAAGGGTGTCTCGCATCGATCTGCCTGGGCCATACAACACACACTTGTGCAGCATCCCACATCAGAGCAGGACGGCAAGTCCATTCTCGACACAGTTCGCGACTAGAAGTAAAAGTAGGATTCGTGCCACATTGGATAGCCAATGATTCAGGCTTTATTTTCCTCCCTTCTTCTGCCCACAAAGCTCACGTCTTCATCTTCAGGAGACACCCTTCACGCCAATACCCTCAACACGCCCCAGTTATACCACAGCCTTTGCACCGCAACCGAGATTTCTTTCCAACGTTCGTCTCAATATATCTTGAGTGCGCTGCTGGATGGCATCACAGATAGCCTATAACCTGGTAAGGCAGCGTCAACCTGATGGGCTGACCAAGACACCTTTGGCCCCGCCATCCACCCGATACCATCTTCCAGAGACAATAAGACAGATTACATGAGAGGACATGTAAAAAGGCTTGAGCTTCATCATATCAGTAAGTCGGCTCATTACCGTCAATGTTCATCAAACTGGGTTCACGGATGAAGGAAGATACGTGATGATGAGGGTTAGCGAAGGCCGGCCGACAAGGACGACGGAGATCGTGAGGACCAATACGCCTAGATCACCGAACTCCTATCAATGAGGCTTCAGAGCTTACGGTTGGCGACGTAACTCATCTCACGGTCTAGACTCCTTCAGCCGGTCACAGACATAAGAGGACAAGGACTTGTTCACCACAAAACACATCACAATATAGCGCTAGCAGGCGCAACGAAAGACTCAACAACCGATACGACTCCCTGAGCCAGAGGGCTTCATGAGGGAAACGCAACTCATCTCCTCGAATCATCAGTCGGAATCGCTCTGCCTATTACCTCCTCAACTCACCTCGTCTACCACCCACGATCCCTCACCGACCGGCACCCCTCCCGATTCGCCACACACCGACCATCAAACCCCCACCCTCCACTCTCTCCCCGCCGCCGCGGCCCAGTCATTCGGTACGAACAACCACACCGGCATCCAGGGATCCCAAACCAGAACCCCTCCCCCCCAAAAAAACGCCTTCCCGCCCAACAAGTGAATCAATCACATCATACTCGGCAACTTCCCCAATTACCCAATCCCATCTTTGCAAACTCTCGTAAACCGCCACAATCGCTGAAGGAAAGGGGAAAAAAAAAAAAAGCAAGCCACCCATCAGGCTAAAAGCGGGAATTTCGGGCGGAGGGGTGGGGGTGTTCGCCAGGGGTCGCGGGGGTCTCGACCTTTTCCAGCGTCCAGTGTCCTCGCTCGCAACCCGACCGCCGGAACACCGATCGGACTGGGTACCTTACCTACCTTACCTAGCTGCGCAACAACAAGCGAGAGAGAGAGGAACAGACAGGTACACACCGACGGCCGCCTTCCACGCAGAAGCTCACCCACGCATCGCAGAGGTTTTAAATCCCACGCTTCCCGGCGTGCAAGCATGACCTAATCCAGGCATGGCCTTATCGCGAGGCCGCCGTGAAATGAAATGTCCTACCTGAGATACCTCGGTCGGTCAGCGGCAGTCGCAGCGCAGTGACCCCAAGTTCAGACGGTGCGGCGTCACCTCAGCAAACAGACTCCGCGGACCACCGGCCACCGGAGCTTTGCTCTCGCAGGAAACCCTACATGAACGGGATTCGAGGAAAGGATGAATTGGCCGCGCGGTTGAGGTATAAGAAGGCCGTCACCGGTCGCTGGCAAATCTACTCCCGATCATCATCCCGAGCTTCTCGTGTGCCCACGAACCAGCCAGCATACTTCCCCCTCTGCAGCTCCAAATTCTGCAGCAGACCGACCGTACGACCGCATCACATCGCGCGCCTGCCATTGGCGAGGATCAGAGAGCTCGGCGGTACCGCGTGGGGAAAAGAGAGCATATTCCCGACGTGCATTTAAGAGCAGCTTTCTGCGCCGCGCGTGCCCTGCCATATTCATCGTCATCCACTTTCACTTGCCTTGACGGGCTCATCCACAACGAAAAAAGGTGGGCTACTAGAAATCCAGTGTGAAGAGAGACGAATAATTGTTTTTGCATTGTGTGTTTGGATTCGACTTGCAAGAATCCCATCGGGGATCACAATCGTGTAGACCTGCCCTCGCTGGACGAAACAAATCCCCCCAATCCGATCCCCGCAGCCCGCACCGTTTACCCCTCGCCGTCCCCGCCTCGCGACATTCTTCCCCCGAGTGCGCTTTACGTCCGTCTCTCTGCCTGCCTGCTTCCGCCTCCCCCACCTGTCACGCAGCAGCTGGAGCTTTTTGCTGCGCTGGCCTGGGCGCGGCCACGAACACACCCCGCTGATCGGCTCTAAGCAGGACACGCCCGCTCCCAGATTCGACAGGCCCGAACGCCGAAGTCCACGAGACACCAGCCAGCCCTCCGCCGAGCACATTTTCTCACGATCCTGACAAAAAAGTGTGTGTGCCTTCTCCCATTGACGAACGCATTTCACCAGTATCTCGAAAAACTTCACCCTCTCGATTACCTGCAAGATGTGGTCCCACAAGCGCGCCTCTCCCTCCGCGGGCGGCAGCTCTTCCGAGGCGGAGGCTACACCGTCGCCGGTCTCTACGAGGCAGAAGAACCCCGGCCGCCGCTTCGCCCAGATCGTGAAGCTCAAGCCCGAGTTCATTGACAAGTACAAGGAGGTCCACGCCGCCGTCTGGCCCGAGGTGCTCAAGCAGATCAAGGAGTGCAACATTGTCGACTGTACGTTTGGCCGTTTCTCTGATGTCCCCGCTGTCGGCGGCAAGCAAGCCCAGACTGACACATCCCACAGACAGCATCTTCCACGACCCCGAGTCCCGCATCCTGTTCGCGTCGTTCAAGTACGTCGGCTACGACTACGCCGGAGACATGGAGAAGATGCGCGAGAACCCCAAGGTCCGCGAGTGGTGGGCCATGACCGACGGCTGGCAGGAGTCGGTTGTCCCCGGTGCCGTGAGCAGCGAGGATGTCGACGCGCCTTCATGGTGGAAGCCTGTTGAGGAGGTGTTCTACACGCCTTGAGATTGGATTGTGTATCGAGTTGTATTGCATTTTTAGTCAGCGACGAATTAATAGCGTTTCCGCTTCGATGACTCCTGGTCTGCTCTGTTTGCGGTATTGTGACAATCATTCGGGTTGATGTGCGTGATGATGCCGGCTCGGATCACTTGAAACCTCCGAACAGCCCTCCGAAGACGCCGCCGGACCCTCCGCCACCGCGCTGGCCGTGCCGCCGTGCCTCTGTCCTGATCCACTCCTCGAGGAAAGCGCGGTCTGCGAGCTTCTTCGCGTCGTGGACCTTGGTCTGGATCTGTGCCTCCTGGTTGTCGAAGCTGAGGAGCGTGGGGATGGAGGAGATCATGTAGGTCATGCCGAGGCCGCCGCTCATGACGTCGGGCGCGTCGAACTCAACGGTGCAGTATGCGACGCCGCCCTCCGCCTCGCCGACGCCCGATTCGACAATGGATCGGATCAACGGTGCGACGACTCGACATGTCCCGCACCACGACGTGGTCCACAAGGTTATCAGCGGTGTCCGTGCGGACGAGGAAAGAAGCTGGTAGGTGTGGAAGTCGTCAGGTCGGCGGACGCTAAGGGCGGCCGTTAGCATTTTGACAAATCCGCGGTGAGGGAGGCAGCATGAGAGGCAGCATGCAAGGGGCCCACTTACGAGGCGTAGATCTGGTTCTTGGCCGGCTTGATGGACGTCGTTGAAAAAGGAGCGGCGGCGGCGGCGGCAGCGGCGACGGAGTGTTTGGGGGGCGGGAAGCGGACGCCATTGGTGAGAGGGCGGTGGCAGCCCCGGAGGGCGGAGCGGGCTGGGTGTCTCAAGAGTTGCATCGCGTATCGTGGGCGAGGGTGCCTGGTCTGCTCCAATGCATGCAGTCTGCTGCTGACTGACGTCGTCGAAGACGGTGTTGTGGTGTCTCGTGATGCGGTGCAAGCAGGAAAATGGTGGTGATATGCGACAGGTTTCTCGGGAAGAGGAAGCGGGATACGAGTCGTGGTGTGCGGGTGTGTTGGTGTGATTTTGGAGGGGAAAAACAAGGCAGATGTTCCAGTGACAACGGAGCTCTGAGATGTCTGTACACTAGCGTGTGGAGGATTCCAGAGCAGTGGTTCAGCTATTACTGGAGCCGGAGTACGTCGTCTTGCTTTTTGGTCCTCGTCCACTTGCCCAGTCAGTTCTCCTACAACTCCAGGTAGCAGCACCAGTATTTGCTTCGCATTCCTTCGATGCGGTCACGCTTAAATCCCGGCAGTCCCCATTGGGGAAGGCGTGGTTGAAATGTGGGGAGTGAACCCCTTTCGTGCACGATGACGTTGTGGTGTTGCGCTGCTGTATGACATAAGCACATCGTGCAGGGATGCTGCCTCTTTTCGAGCGACGGCAACTGCGGCAAGCGGGCGGTCAGAGCTGTCTCGAGGCCTCGCAATCCTTGGCGCCCAGCCGGGGGGCTGCTTGGAGGCTGCTTGGGGTCGCTTTGCGGCGCTTCAGCTTCATCTTCACTCTATCTGCCTCCAGCTACGTGAGGTAGATTGCTTTGTCTTATTCCCAGCGACATGCGCCGCATCGCGTTGAGAGACGCGGTGTCGCCGTGAAATGGCCATCACACCACCTCGTTGCGGCGACGTCGGCGCTTTCTTTTGTGCTCTGATTGTGGTTGACTTGGGATTATTCAAAGCAGGGAGGTGAGTCGAGGCCAGCGACAGAGCAGCCCGGTGATGGCCAGCCCGGGCACGAATAGACCGTGGTGTCGCCGGTCACCGCCTCGCCTCGCCACATGCTGTTTTCTGCATTCCAGTCCACAATGTGAAGAAGACTCGCCAAACAGGTGGGGAAATGAGGGCAGCCTGCAGTGCAGAACAATCGATGCACCGCAGACATGGGAGGCAAGGTCCAGGAAGAGAAACGTGGAGAAGGAGCGAGTGCGCGGTGCACCTGCCCTGCCTGCACCTGCACTCTGGACTGGACGGTGGGCCACGGGGTTTAGCCTCGCTTTTAGGGGTCCTTCCTGGATCTGGCGCCGGCATCACAAATGCAACATCAACTGCTGCCAGTCAACCTCTTCTTTCGCTGGCATGTGCCCAACCATCATCCCACGCCTTTACGACTGCAGTATCTGTACCTTGGAATACGCTACGCTACCGCAGCTAGACTGCACCACCCCAGACTGCACTCCCTCTTGGAGTCTTGGACATCCATTTCGGAGCCGCCATCGAGTCACCTGCCCGTCTGCCAGTCAGTCGCATCTATCCACTGGACAAGCGTCTTTGCGATATTCCCTCCCAAACCTGGTCATAATACCCCACGGAACCCGCCCGAGGCGCAGCGCCAACGACGCATCCAACGCTGCGAGCACAGACACAAGCACAGAACACGGCAGAAATCCCCACCAGCCGACAGTCTCTACTGCTTGTGCTGCCACTCTGGGCATCAATCCCGTATCGCTCGCTCTCTTGCCCAGCATCTGCCATCTCGAGCCTGGTCAGATTGAAGAGCCCTTGCCTTGTCTTCGACAGACGGGACTCGCGCTTGACTCGCTGGCCGGCCAATCCTGGCTGTATCGGCCTCCTTTCTTCATTTCGTCCCATGTTGTTTCCGCCGTCGTTCCCCCATCTCCCAGCCCCGAGCCAGGCATAACACTCAGCTCGCCGCACCCGCTTGGTTTTGCCATAAAGCCAAAGGTCCATCCTTGATCTGATGGTCGCCTGCTCCTACTTGAGACGCTAATTCCAGCCATCACTTAATCACAATCAAACGGCGCGCTGGCCATCTGACGCCATCGCTCTGCACGGCCCAAGAACAACACCCTCGTTCAGTCGGGTGTTGCTGCAATCTGTTACCCCCGCCATCCAGGTCCCATTGCTTGCGGTTCTTCTACTCCAGGCCCTGGTCGATATTCCTTCACCTTGTCGGCGTCCACCGCTATTTTCATCCACGGCCTGCCTCGCTGCAACCTTACCTCAACACCAATTTATCTTCACCTCGCCGCGCTTGTGCGTCTGCTCTTTTCGCAAACCTCAACACTTCTCGAGTCCGACCGTTCAGCCTCCTGTCATCTCCGCGGAGGCATCCAGAATCCCATCTCCTGTTTGGTGCGGCTTTGAAAATCGCCATCTTCCGCGTCCGTGTGTTCCTGCAACCTTATCTCATCTTCCCGTGCACGTCTGGGCCGGAAGCCATGCTCGACCGAACTTGAGATCACAGCCCTATTACTTCCCGTATATCCAGCTCGCCATCTTCCTGTCCTGCAGCCTTCCATCCTCTTCTCAAACACATCTCTGCCACCACAGACTCACACTAGCTTGGCACCTGCAGACCTGACATTCATCGCGCCTTGGCAACCTTACACATCCAGTCGCAATCCCTTTACACCGCGCCAACATGGCCGGCATTCTCACATGGAAGAGCCGCTTCGGCGGGGTCTTCGGAAACAAGCCTGGCCAAACAGAGGGCTCTGAGGGCTCTGATGACGAGCAGCAGGCCAACATCCCCAAATGGAGCATGGGAGTTCTCAATGACCCCAAAACCATTGAAGTTCCTGGTGAGTCAACTTCTTCCTTGGCATGGACTGCGGCTGACCTTCCCAGGCTCGGTACTTCTACTGGCTGCTCACCGAAATGAGCCCTTGGGCTTGCGCAACGCCCCCGCAAGGACATCTCACTCGTCCATTCCCACGGGATTTCCGGAGCCGCCCGAGACGCCCACCGGGCGTCGATCATCCGCGTACTCGGCCCCACCTGCACCAGCACCGGAAAAGACGACCAAGGACGGCATCATCCTCAACCCCCAGCCCGAGGAATCAGCCAACGACCCTCTGAACTGGCCCGCGTGGCGACGTGACTGTGCCTTGCTGTCCCTCGGCTTCTACTGCATGGTCGGCGGAGGCATGACGCCCATTCTTGCTGCTGGCTTCACCAACGTTGCTGAAGACTACCACATCGAGACCGAAACGGTGTCTTTGACCACAGGTCTGTACATGATGGGCATGGGCCTCGGCTCGGTCATCTTCTCGCCGACAGCCATCCTTTATGGAAAGAGGCCTGTCTACCTCTTCAGCTCCATCATCTTCATCGCTAGCTCCGTATGGGCTGCTTTGTCTCCCAACTTCGCCTCTCTCATCCTTGCAAGAATCTTCCAAGGAGTCGCAGTCAGCCCCGTCGAGTGTCTTCCCTCGGCGACAATCGCCGAGATCTTCTTTCTACATGAGCGTGCCTTCCGCATCGGCATCTACACCCTGCTGCTACTGGGTGGCAAGAACTTGATTCCTCTCGTCAGTGCCGTCATTATCCAGGGCCTGAGCTGGCGATGGGTATTCTGGTAAGTTTCAAGCTCCCACTTCCCGTACCATTCGCTCACCAAACCCAGGATCGTCGCCATGGTCGTCGCCCTTTGCGGTGTCCTCCTCTTCCTGTTCGTCCCTGAGACCTTCTGGGACAGAACTCCTATTCCCAAGTCGAGGAAGCCGTCGAGGAGACCAAGCTTCCGACACCGTCTCTCCTCCCGCAACGATGTTCCTCAAGTTGCCAAGACGCCGACCGCCGCAGGACCGACCAGCCCCGCGCCTCTATCTCCGTCCCACCCCCACAAGGACCTCCACGTCGGCTTCGCCCCCGACCCGAACGCGGAGCGCAAGGCCGACCCCGAAAAGCAGCCTGAGTCCACCAACTCTCCGGCCCCCGAGCCACGCACTTCCGGCACCTCAACCTCCCCCGCAAACTCCGATTTCTTTGCCAAAGCTCCAGCCCTGGAAGCCGAGAAACTTCCCTCCTCAAACCTCAATTCGCCCCCGAAAGCTCTTGCCTACACTCACACCCTCCGCCACCAACCCGCCCGCTCCTTCGGCGAGCAGCTCAAACCCTGGAACGGCCGGCTCAACCACGACAAGTGGTTCAAGGTTATGCTCCGCCCCTTCGTCCTCTTTGCCTACCCCGCTGTCCTCTGGTCGGCTGCCGTCTACTCCCTCTCTGTCGGCTGGCTCATTGTCGTCTCCGAGTCGGTCGCTCTCATCTATCGTAACCGCGCCTCCTACAACTTCGACGCCCTGCAAACTGGTCTGGTCTACCTCTCCCCCTTCGTCGGCGGCGTCCTCGGCACCGCCGTCGCGGGCAAAGTTTCCGACATTATCGTCAAGACGATGGCCCGCCGCAACGGTGGCCTCTACGAGCCCGAGTTCCGTCTCGTCATGGCCATCCCCGTCCTCTTCACCACCGTCATCGGTCTGATGGGCTTCGGCTGGTCTGCGGAGGAGCGCGACCACTGGATCGTACCCACTGTCTTCTTCGGCCTCATTTCCTTTGGGTGCACCCTCGGCTCGACGACTAGCATCACCTTTTGCGTCGACAGCTACCGCCAGTACGCCGGCGAAGCCCTCGTCACGCTCAACTTTAGTAAGAACATCTTCCACGGGCTGGTCTTCAGCCTGTTTGTCACGCACTGGATCACCGCCGAAGGCACCAAGAGCGTCTTCATCTGGCTCGGCGTCATCCAGCTTATCTTCTTGCTGGCTACGATTCCCATGTTCTTGTACGGCAAACGCGCGCGCATGTGGACCGTGCGCAAGAACTTCATGGAGAAGTTTTAGAGATACTTTGCATGATACACATTAGCATATTTGGTTCCATCATCTAGGGATTTACATTTATCTGGGCATTTGGAGCGTTTACATTTGGAGGATCCACGTCACTGGGTACATATTTTCTCGTCCGTCATTTAAGGAGTCAAATGGGTTCGGAGCCGGCTGTCGCCTGGGCACTTCCGGTTATGTCGTCATGATACCTCTTTTCTTTTTGGAGTATTTCGTTTGCATATCGGTAGATCATGTAGACTACAGGACAGGCATATTGCAAACATGACATTTACGATCTTTTCCATGATCATTCTAGAGATTGCCTTTAAGTGAGTTGCCACGCAGGCGGATGCCTGTCTGCTCTGCCGGTTCTCGTCCTTGTCGACCTCTGAGTATTTATCTGAGTGCTGCAATGGCGGTCCCATCCGCCCTCCTACTACCCCCGTCACCGGCCAGCAACTTAATGATGCAAGCACGCGGCCTCAGCTTGCCCACTACAGAAGTCTCAAGCCACTTGTATCTCGCCTCTGCCTCTATCGCACCTTCATAGGCGAGGCGTCGAAGGTAGCTAGCGCCAGTCTCGGGAGGCGTCGCCCAAACCATGCGAGCCTTTGAATGTCATGCAGTAGTCTCGAGCGTAGTATGTCGCGAGGAATATAAAAGACAGGCTGGATATGCCGATCACTTTTCCCGTCGCCGACTCTGCTCTATGTCAGACGTGCAGTGATGGTTGTTGCGAAGGGCGAGGTGCGCCGAGAGGGGTAATGGGCAAGTCCTACGTACGACTTCGTGGAAGGTTAGGTTCCGAGGCTTTTGCTGACAAAGGCGTCAGTCAGTAAAAATAAAGGAAGTGTGCGAGGGAAGAGAAAAGCTGAACGGAGACAGATGAAAGAAGGAGAAAAAAGTAGAAAAAGAAAAGTTCTGCTAAATGACAAAAGGCAGGGTTGAACCCATAACCGTATTATAACCCCAGCGGACGGAAGTGCCAAGGACTTCAGGGCGCAAGCACATTGACCAGACCTGACCAACTGAGCCACCAAATCCTCCATCCGCTGTTGAGGACTGAGGGCAGGAATGGGGGCTAAGGAGGTTGAGAGTTGAGGGGTGAATACGCAGGTGAGATGAGGTGAAGTTGGCGGCGGGTTGGGATGGGGCTGTGCAAGCTTAGAGAGGCTTTCACAGGAGGTGCTGGCACACAACAAAGAACGGTTTATAGACTTATATCAGTTTTCCACAGGAAGGAGAACCTTAGAGGAGGGAAACAGTTTGATCTAATCCGTACAACGTTGACAACGGCCCCAGAAAGCAACTCTCGTTACCCGCCACCTAAGCGGCAACCCGTAAACTTCTTAGCGATGACAAGATACACAACGACATCCATGTTACTTTCCCAAATGGCTATGATTTCGACTTTGTTATCTAGAAGGTAGATACCATCAGACCCTTTTCTTTAACATTGTATGCCTTGGAGAACAACTCATTCCTCGAGATATGATTTAATTAAGTAGGTGTAGTGCAGAGCAAATGAAAGGTCATTCTAAAAGAGCTATGGTAGTCGCAGAATGACATGACAACTTCTATGCGCGAGGAACACGAAGAAGGAAACATCGAACGATCCTGTCGCGACAATACATTGTTTCACCTCTTAAGGGAAACTCATAAAATCTGAGAAGCCCCAAACCACAAGACCGACAATGACAAACCGGAATCTCCGTTGTATTCGGAGATATCTTGATCAAGACGCAGTATATTCGCTGACGTAATGTTGAAGGTCGGCAAGACGACGTCAAGTAAGCACGAAATCACGAATGTAAGCCGGGACAGGGGTTGTGGACCATGCATGCGGCACAGCACCGCTAAAGATGTCTTCAGAAGGGCGCCAAGCGGTGGTTTATAAGCCACCATATCGGAATCTCTATACTTTGGAACTTCATCAGCTTGCCAATTCCAAAGCCAGGTGACTTGACCGGCCGACCCTGTTGAACATCCCAAGCCCCTCGCAGAACACAAAACATCAACAACAATGATCTCCCCCCTCCCTCCAAACGCCCGCCTCGTCAACATCGGCACCCACTCCCTAGCCCTCTACACCCACGGCCCCGAACCCAGCAGCCCCACCTCCCCTGTCGTGCTCTTCGTCTCCGGCGTAGCCAGCGACGCCCTCAACTGGCAAGCCGTCGTCCGCCTCCTCCCCGCCTCGCTGCGGAGCTACACATACGACCGCTCCGGCCACCGCAACTCAGACCCCTCCCCGCTCCCCCCCACCGCCGAGAACATCGCGCTCGAGCTCGCCCTGCTAATCGAGCGCGCACCCATAACCAACCCGCTCATCCTCGTGGGACACTCCTGGGCGGGCGTGCTCACGCACGAGTACTTCGCCCTCAAGGGCGTGAGCCAGGTCGCGGGGCTGGTCCTCGTGGACGCGAACCACGAAACGGCGCCGCTGGTGCTGGACGTCAACGACCCTGTGCTGTGGAAGGTCGCTGCCGAGGTGGATGTGTACGCCGCCTGGGGGTTAGAGGCGACGCATAAGTTGACGCCGCAGGAGTGGGACGCGTTCCGCGCGGCGGGGGCGACGGAGAAGCATAAGCTGATTGCGCAGCGGGAGGAGTCGGAGTACGCGGCGAGCTTTGAGGCGCTGCGGAAGAAGGGGCTGGCGGGCAGGCAGCCGATTCTTGGGGACCGGCCGGTGTATGTGGTTGTGGGGACGCGGAGCCGGGACTGGCGCGGGTTGTATGCGGCGGGGGTGGCGAGGGGGAACGGGACGGAGGAGGAGAGGGGTTATGTGAGGGGGTTGATTGAGACGGTGGATGAGAAGTGCGAGGGGCTGATGAGGGAGTTTCTGAAGGTTTCGCGGAGGAGCGAGATTGTGTTTGCGAGGGAGAGTGGGCATTTTGTGCAGATGACGCAGCCGGATGTTGTTGTTGATGGGGTGAAGTGGGTGTTGGAGAATCAGCCGGCGTCTTCTTAGAAGTGGCGAGCCTGGTATGAGTGGTTGGCGTTTGAGTATATTTGAGCAAGTGACAGTAAAAGAAGGGACGGCCTGATTTTCCTGTGCTAGAGTGACTACCTTTCCTGTGGCTACCTCATCTTACTGTCGTCGCCGTTACTGCTATCGTCGCTACTATCGTGACTATTTTTGTTTCTATTGTTACTGTTATCATCGTCTGTTGTTGTCGTCTAACTTCATCGTCCAAATTATCCTTATCAAAGTTACTAAGTACACCGGAAATGTAGCCACTAAGACATAGGAAAATTAGGCGATCTCTAAAAGAAAGCTGTCAGCCTCAGATACAAAGCGGCAAGACGAACTGGATCTTGTGACGGCCACCTCTTTCGCGATTTAATAATGATGTTTTCAACCGGCAGCTCTATCACTCTATCACGTAATAAGACGAACGTGGAAATACACATACAATCATGAAAACCGTCCTATATCCTGCTTGGGAGCTAACAAGTCGTGTGTGCTCTGTCTCCAGATCGGAGACTCACACCTTAGACGAAGACGAGCTACAGGAACCTTTAGCCGAGGAAGTTACATGAGTGACGAGTAGACCGGTGGGATCATCTTGGCTCGTACGTCAATATGTGCTGTAGGCCGTACTCTTATCTCGCGCGTAGCCGAGGTTGCATTGACTGAGTCGTGGCGTGACTCGTGAGCTCGGCGTGCGGCACGAAGGTGGGCTTATCACGCTTGAGTTTCTCGGCATTGTTTGTCCAGACAATGGAGAGGGTCTAGAGGCATCTGTTGATATAGTGCTGCCGACTTCAATTAACCCAAGTCAGTGCGCCTGGTGCTAAGACACAAGTCAGGTGCAGGCTGGGGCTTGACGCTGGCAGTCATGTTAGGCACTTCCTGTGGACTTGGTGCTCACACCACACATTCTCGTGCGTGATCAATCGCGCATTACAGAATCGTATCGCAGTAGTTCCTACAGTTGCTGGAGCTTGCAGTCCAGTATCTGAAAGTTTTGACAAGACAATGCTCCGGTGAGACTACTTGACTCATGCCATGTCAACAATGGGAAAGCTCGTCTCTTTGCCTTCATATTTGAGAAACAATTCAACCACAGTCACAACTGAGCCTGAAGAGATCTGACTTGAATTAAATTGAGATAAGGCCGTCTAAAACTCCAAAGGGCTGCATACATGCACCCATGCCACGCTAGAAAGTCAGGTTGCAGAACCTACTGTCTCGCGTGACAGTAATTAGTGTTGACCGTCAAATTATTCCCATTGGCATCCTGGGCACCCCCAGGCACGAAAGTGGTAATGCCTCCGTTGACATAATTGTAGACGAAGCTTGCAGACGCGTTGCCCCATGTTCCTCTCGCATTCAACTTGAACGAGACTTGGCTGGCTTGCTGAGTGACGTCGTCGATGGTAACGCCCATGCCCTCCACTTCCGTGAACAGTTTGATGTCGGTGTTAAACATGCTGAGAAGTGTTCGGATGATGAGGTCCCTCGAATCCGAAAGCGTGATAATCCACACCACCTGGAGTGTGTCGAACCAGCCGCGCTTCGCGATCGCTGCAGTAGCCTCGGGGGTGTCTCGTGGGATAGCGAGGCCGCAGCCCTTTTCTTGGACAATCCTGTCGAGAGTTTCGTTAGCAAGGCGATGGACCTGGGCCAATGGTTTGGAGGATACTACATACGATCCATCGGGCGCAGAGTACTGTAGCACGTTTGGCGTATTTGCGATGCACTGGTTCTGCGAAGGTGCGGGCGCAGCAAGCGCAACGCAGAAGATCGGGATGAGGAAGAAGTTGAAGACTTTCATATTGGTGAAGTCAACTACACAGCTGAAACAGAAAAGACCGTGGGGAGAAGCATCAACCGACAACCCTCTTAGTGAATGACCAGAGGCGAACCTCCCGCGCTATATGTACATGTATCAACGAGCAAGAAGACTGTTGTCGTAAAGACGGGAAATTACGCACGTGCGCACGATTAATGAATTCAGGAGATTTCTTTTTCTTAACGGGAACGAACGCGAAAAACTTTATTTGCCCGCTGATCGTCGCCCTGATACCCCGCGGAATCCGGACAGCCTTATGACTAGACAAATTAATAGTTTATTCAATGAGAATGAGAAGTGTAACGTGATAGAGAAACAACATTAAAGATAAATGATGACAAGAAAAGGGGGGCATTGCTCTCGTGGAGGTATTTAATAAGGTTTGCTATTCTGGGTACAGTCAAATGTTAATCGTTCATGCACTCGGACTTGACCTATCGGCGTTGCCGGGATCACCGCTGCATCTGCAATCGTGCAGTTCGCATGGACCGAAGATATAAGTCAAAGATAACCGCATTCATATCATAAGGCCATGCTTGACGAATCCAACTTGCTCCGGATTTTGTTCGACTATTCACTTTCGCTTCAAGCTACAACAACTGCCCACGTTCGTTTCAACATGCGTTTACAATTTTTTGCCGCGTTAATAACGCTACTGTAAGCTCTCCGCATTGCGATTCAGTAACTTTGCTGACAACAAACAGTTCTGGCGTTCTGGCAGACTCACATGACTACTGTGCCTGCCAGCAGTGGTCCAATGGTCCAGTTGACCATGTAGCAACAGCCAAGGTCGCCGCGAGAGCCTGCTTTGGCTACGTTTGGGGTGAGCCGTTTCGCGAGCCTTTCGTTGCAACTTGATAACTGACAACATGATAAGCTCCATATGAGCACCTGGCCGATTCGCAGACAACCTGGAACGCCAACAGCCCAGGACCTCGATTTGAGGGCCGATATGTAAGCTCAGCTCTTGAACACCTGATTTCAGCCGGTCTAACAGCATCATTAGCTACAAAATATGATCAAGAGGTGGAGGATTGATGGAGACGACTTCTACAACCGCTGTCGCGAGGCGGGAGCGGGAGACAGCACATGTTTTGGCTGCTCGGATCTTCAGGTAAATAGTGACGGAAGAGTGCAGTGCAACGAGAAGTAGAGTCGTGTACAGTTGATTTTGAAGTCTGAAAGCGATCAAAGAGGCGTTGCGTGTTTTTAGTACTCGACAGCGCAAAGTAATTTGACCCCTTAGATGGTTCGAAAATGAATGATAATGGATTCTGATGGTCCGGCGGATGTCTTTAACTATTCAATTGAGTAGTATCAATATAAGACGAAGGGACGACGGGGACGACGGGGACGACGGGGACGACGGGGACGACGGGGACGACGGGGACGACGGGGACGACGACGACAGGGACGACGACGACACGGATGAGAATACACATAACACTTGTTCAAAGACCAAGTTTGGCCAAGTACATACGATATTTTCGGCCAAGAGCAGCTTTCATATCCAGTTCCTTTTCTGACCTGCGAGACCTCTACCTAGGAGATTTCACCAAAAACAAGATCCCAGTCTGGAGCCCATTGGAGAGCGTTGAGGTCGTCGACAAGCATGTTGTCAATAAGCAATGCGCCATCTTCAACACCAAGGCCGCTGTTCTCTAGTGTAACGGCGTTCCATGACAGATTCTTGTCCGAAAAGATCAAACCCTCAATCTCGTCCTCTATCAACGCAGCTTCATGAACAGACAGTTGATTTGCCCACGTGAAGGCAGATGAAACCTTTTGTACAAGTGGTCTCAGCTTGTCAGCACATCTCGTCGCTTCGCCCCACCGTTGCCCGATGTTGGATAGGACTTGCAGACACTGAGGAAGCAGCGTTTGCACCATGTGTTCTGCCTGATTTCTGAACGGTTGGTACTCTCGCGAAGACCATGATGCGTGCAGCGCTATCATGGCGGTTTCAAACAATATGTGTACGCCGTGCCAGGGGTAGAACAGCCGCCCGCGGCGCTCTTGACCCACATAGTCCTCGATGAGTCTCTGCATATTGTAGTCATATAATCAGCAGTGGTATAAATTGCGATGAAGAGAGATCTTACCTCACAGGACTCTAGTACTATCCCCCAATCTTCAGGGAGTCTCGTTCTTAGCCTAGGTGTCGGCCGGTGAATTCGGGCCCTCAGATGGTTGAACTGCACATGCTTGAATTCAAGCATATTGTACTGCGTGTATGTTTGGGCGTTGGCATACCAGGTCTCTAGCCGGCTGCTAATATCCAACATCCAGTCCCCTATGGTCGTTCCGTTAAGCGCGGGGATGTCTTCTTGAAGATAGAGGACTCGATGCACCTCGGTTTCCAATGCACGGTACCGGTATAAATGGTTCGCAGAGGACTTCTTAATCATGTCGTCCACTTTGAAATAAGCACTCGCTTCATCAGATGATGGCGCTCTTAACTATAATCGGTTAGGCTCATGGCATTGCACGGATAAGAGTCTCTGAATAGGGAGGCCTACTTTGGTGGTAATGATTTCTTCAGGGAAGGACGGTGGAAGCCTGAGATTAGTGCACAGAGATCTTTCCATTCCATAAGTGACCCAGAACAGTTCGGATCGTAAACGCGCTTGCCCAGCGTCGATTTCTTCAGAAAACTCCCGATGAAGACCTAAACCCAAGACGATCCTGACTGCATTTGCGATGCATGTCCAATTGTCAAGTCTCTCGGGACACATACTAGAATAGTGAGACAAGAGTAGTGAGATCTGAAGAGCTTGGATTTGGCGGCATTCTCCAATAGCTTGCAGATGTTTCAAGGCCGATTTATAGAAAGACTCAGGCGGAGCGAGCTTGTTGCTCGTCCTTTGAGGTCATGGTGAGTGCCGAGATTGCCAGAACAATGGACAGGACGAAACTCTCAAAGGCATCCAAGGTCTCGGAGAGACTAGGGGTTTCATGAGTCAAGGGAGAGCCTGTGGCCTGGCCTGCTTCATCTTTTGCGCGCTCGACAATGTTTTCTAGCAGTGCCTCCGGAATACAAGGGTATTGTGGAAGGTGAGTGTCGGCATAGTTACGCACCATACGGTCGAGGGCCCAGTTCGGAATGTTTTTGAGGTTGATCAAATTGCTCGTGTGAGGGTTTGCGGGATGGATTGTACCCTCCCTGCTGGCCGAAGACTCATGGGTCTCGGTCCTTTGATCTGATCCTAGCTCTGGATCGGGGCCACGGGCGTTGGCCGAGATGGCTAACGGAGGGCATGAGGGGCGCATAAATAAATTTGGCGAAATCTTGGACAGAGGATATGAGCCAGTGATGGGTGTGCCGAAGGATATGGTTGCTTGAGCGATTTTCGAAGCCATCAATGAGGGGTATTGTTGATGCCCTGCGCGAGAAGCAAGCACTTGTGCCTCGAGCTCGGCCACACGAGCCTCAAGGGACTTGACTAGGCTACAGCAGAGGTCAACAAGCGCCAATTGATTGTCGAGAAGTACTGTTGTTCAAAGCCGCGAGCTGCTATTTACCTTCTCGGGACAGGTTTCCGTGTTGCGGGATCGAAGCCCAGACATGGTGCGCCTGCTAACTTGCACGAGGTGCATTCTGGAAACTTGAAATCACACTAAATGCAAGAACAAAGTCAGAAGTGCTATCCAAAACCCATCATTCTTGCTGCTTGTAGAGCATAGTTGTTGTGAACGCTGACCTTGGTCTTGCGTTGCCTGCACCGAGTGCAAACCTTTGTGGAACGACGGTGCGACTTCTGCATCTTTAGAGGATGCAAATTCAGCTGGATATAGGCAAAGTTCTTTTGGGATTTGGGGGCGCAATTATGTAGATAATCTAGGCCCTTGCTCATAGATATGCGGAGCAATACGGGTCACAAGTGGGAGCAAGATCAAGGTACCAAAATCCGAGTCGACCTCTTGTTGCAGGTGGCAAGCTATATAGCAAACCAGCAACTGGCAGCAATCGAGGCAGAGAAATTGAGTTATCGAGAGTTTGCTGGTTGGGGCTGTGCTGTCCGAAGCAAGGACAGATAAGGGACTGACTCCATAAAGATAGCAAGGATGACCGGCTGTTAGATAAAGGCTTCGGTTATAGCGATGCGGAGTAGGCCCTCGATATCGCCTACATTCGACACAGTGCCCATGAATCCCATCAGTGACCATAGTCAGGCTATTCACTGGACACATAGTTTTCTCTGACATTAGTTCATGTCGTAATAATTGACAGCGATTGCCACCATGCTCCAGACGTGCAATCGGTGTCGAAATCGAAGAATCAAGGTCTGTCCTCTCACCCCACAGCGCGTCGCTAAGCCTCGTGAACACAAACGGTCCAGGGTGGTTAATAACTGTCAGTTTAGTGTGACTCTCGCCTACCAGCATGTGCTAATTGCTCAAGAAGCGACCTGGATTGCACGTTTCGAGATGATGCTCTTCAGCAAGATGTCCCCAGAAGGTCTGCAGATCCATCTGCCTCAGCAGACGAGCTACGCTGAGGGCTGATTGATCTCGTAGTTATATCCAAAGTTTGAATGAGAAGATCGAGAATTTGCAATCCCAACTGGCTTTGAACCGGCCTGAAAGCTTACCTCAGTAGGTTGCCTCTCCAAAACCTATATCCTTCAATTTGGAGAGAATCAACTCCTCAGTGCTTCGAATAGCCAGTAACGAGTTCTGCACTAGGAACTCATCAAATAATGGCTCACAATCATTTCACATTTTGATACCCGCAAGGCCAGGGTCCGACATTCACCTTGACAACTCAGTTCCTTCTCGCTTCGCCCGCGTCGTCTTCGAAGCGTTGCCACTGGCCGAGGCCTCGCCTAACATCGATGATATCTTTACTGAGAGCGATAGCTCCTTGTCGCCAAATATTTACTACAATGACAGATCTCAGATCACACCCAGCATATTGAGGTACCTTCTTGGACGCTACGAACGCTGCATCACGCCTCAATATGCTGTATTCGTGCCTCAGCTTCTGACTCACGATGGAGCAAGTTTCAAGAAGCTGCCTGAGTCTTTGAAGTTCAAAGCCCTCATGGCATGTGGCATCGCTGCTGCTCGAGAATCTCATCGAAATCCCAGCTGGAAGCCTCTCGCGCAAATCTGTCGTGGTTGGGCAAATGAGTTGGTCACGCCAATAATCTCAGCCGGAGATAGTGATACTCTGACAGCTGTTCTACTTCTTCTCATCTATGAGTTGGCCGAGCCGAGCAGGGGCGTCACCTGGGAACTACTCGACCTCGCTGCGCGCACATGCCTGCAGCTCGGCTGGCACCAAGCTCCTCTAGCTCCAATTGCGGGGCGAGCTGGACAGGATGGTGGCCAAGACAACATGAGCAGAGCCCACAATTGCGGCCCCGATGAGATCCGTCTAATGTCAGTTCTACGGAAGATCGAAGGGTGAGAAGAATGAGGTGTTCCGCAAGTGGTTGTGCTGCTGGCTAATAGTCTCAGGGCATTACAGACCATTTTCAGAGACCCAGTATGCTGAGTGGTTCCAAGTTACCTACCACGTCCGAGAGCGAGACTCTGTACAATCTGTATGCCCGAATCTCTGACCAGCTTTACGGCCGAGGTGGTGTGTACGAAGCGCAAGGATGTCCATTCGTTGGCGAGGTGGAAACACTGATGCATCTTCTCGACGCCTTTCATACACAACACCCAGCCGCCAAAGAGACCTGGATTTCTTTCCTCCCGATCTGCTTTGCTCATAAGCAGTGCCTGTTCTGTTTTCAAGAAGCTGATGAGGACAACGCCAAAGGCATGAAGACTCTGAGGCGCAAAGTTGTGACCCAATCATCCGAACTAATTTCCACCGTTCACGCCTGTGCTTCGTCGCCGCATGATTTCATCCCGCCAATCATAGCTAGCTCTAGAGCCTTCATCGCAGGATGCTCTATTGCGACGGGCATCTCGAAGAAGTGGACGCCCGCACAGTCGCACGCAAAAGATTTGATAAAATGCACCGAGATTCTTGCTCTCTTTGCGCCACACTGGAAAGGTGGCGATGACTATCTAAGCGTTTGGAGAACTATTATCAACGTGCTTGAATTGGAGTAGCAATTACAATGAGACAAGTAAGGCAAACACAACTATTCGAAACGTGAACCCTTTAGCCCCACGCCTAAGACTCGTCAAGTCACTTTTGCAGCTTGGTGGAGGAAGTCAAAGAGTTAATGCCCTGATTTCTTTCCTTATCCGCAATTACGCAATCCCTAACTTGAGAAAAGAATCGGTTGTATCGCCAATGCATTCCCGGAGTGACCGAAACTCGATTCCCAGCAGTTGGCGGGCCCTTGAGTTATCATAGCCGTATACATCTTCGGGGAAGTCATCAATCGGATTCTTAGGTAACTTGGGTGCAAGTCCCGGATGCGTGTCCAGGATAGCGTCGACAATTCGTTTGTTTGAATAATGCCCTGCGGTGATAAAAAAGCGTTTGCCTGCCGCCTCCGGAACCTCCATGGCCCTCACATGTGCCAGCCCAAGATCTCGGACGTCAGTAAATAAGAACGTGCCGGTTGGGGGCAGCTTGTCGTTTTCGATCTTTCCTTGGATGAAATCGCGAATCCTTTGGTTAGACGTATTGAGGCTATCGGAGTTCTCAAGATGATGAATGACTGGGCCATACACCATTGGCGGGTTCATTGTCACCAAGTCAAAGTTGGGATTCTCTTCTTCGACAAACTTCCATGCCGCTTCTTCTGCGAGTTTCTGTGGTTACAATCTGTCAACTACCACCATCATATGTTTACGGTAGTTTCTGTCCGCACCTTGCTGCCTCGATACGCCAGGGAGCGTTCAGCCACGGCCTCATCCCAAGTTATCGGATTCCATGAATTTTCGTCGTATACTGAAGGTGGTGACGCACTGTTGACGATGGCTGCAAACGACGAGGTTATTATGACGCGCTTTACCTGGAGTGCGTGATTCTTGACTGCCCGAAGCAGCCCGATGGTCCCCTTGATAGCAGGATCGAGGAGGTCTGTCACGGGATCGTCAAAGTTCTCATGGAACGGCGACGCAGTGTGGATGACACAGTCGAATTGGGGATCGGATTGAACAGCCTGCACCGGTTCAGGCGATAGTTAGCTTTCTGTTCTGATCCGTTCCGTTACACATCTGTTCATCACAGGCCTCACATGGTCAAAGGCGCCTTCGCGGGCGATGTTGCTGACAATAACATATGACAGTTTCTCTTTCGGGATGTTCTTGTACGCTGCAAGAATTTGCTCTCCCTTTTTCGTAGATCTGACGGTGGTGGTAACCGTGTGTCTACCATGAACACAGAGATCAGCCTCTATTTCACTCCGTATCTGGTAGTCACGAAATACCCGCGATCCAGCAGTGTTTTTAGAACATGTGCAGCAATGAAGCCACTCCCTCCTTTAAATAGTCAAAGGGTCAGAATGAGTAGTTTGGTGGTATCTTGTTTGAAAACTCACCTGTCAAAAGAACTCTACTCATTCTGGGGATTCGCGATTTTCCGTCTTGTGCTCAACGGAAGGCAGGCAATGCAATTACGCACCTATCTTGCTGATTGATGGTGTAACAATCTAGTAGTAATTTGCCGTTAAATAACGATTTGCCTGGGAAATAATCGGCCCAGTCATGAATTGTCGCACTGCGATCCCATTTGCAAACGTAATGAACTCGCGGAGAATGCATGAAGCCGTTTCCCTTTCCCCAGTTGGCATCTTCCCCATAGCCGAGATCTCCTCGGTGTTCCCCGTGTGTCTTGTCGCTTTCCTCGTTATTCTCCGGTTACCCCTGGATGCCGAATCCTCAGGGGGGCAGTTGCGGGGCAGACCTCGGCGGTCGGCGGCCGGAAAGTCTGATGCGACGCGATAAGCCACCTATCCGATCTGTGGCTGCGGTAACTGGCCGGGGCCAACGCCTGTGATTAACTGAGTTGATGTTCTAAGTACGTCACATCATTTAAATTAAGTAAATCAGAGTGATTTGCCGCTACATCTGACTTTGATTCGTATCATCTTATGCTCTGTAAGCTTGCCGCGGTCCCTAAATCAAATCCCTGCCGCTGTCCCAGTTTCTCACTAACACGGCCCCAGAAAGGCACGTCGTCTTAACCACCAGGTGCAAAGGGCTGGTCCTCTTGTCGTTTATACCACCGCCGGAAAATTGTCCAGAGTCCTCGCCTTCCACTGTTTATAATGGCACCAGCAAACAAGCACGTCGTGTTCGATGTTGTTGGTACGTGACATACCTGGTCACGATGACTACTACATCGATATAAATGGCTGCTATTACTAATGTTCTGTAGGAACACTGATCTCCTACGAGGCATTTTTCGAAGCTATCGAGGCTCGGCTTGGTGATGGTCTGAGAGCCAAACATGTGGGACCCCGCCTCTTTGGATACGCATGGATGGAGGCGGGCGAGAAGGAGTACACTTACATGACGATCTCCGGAGCAAAGTACGCGAAGTTCTTTGACATCTTCCGGTCCATCTTCTACAGAACCCTTTGGCAGGCGGGTATACAGGAGCCGCGTAAATTCGCGACGGACGAGGACCGCGAGTTCTTGCTGGCTTCGTACCGAGCACTCAGGACCCGAGAAGGCTTAAGTGAATGCTTCTCAAAGCTCCGAAAGGCAGGATTTACCGTCTGGTGTCTAACAGCCGGTGACACCGAGCGCGTGGGCGGATATCTTGCCAAGGGCGGAGAGGATTTCCCCTCCGAAAACTTCGTCTCTTGCGATACCATTGGCGTGGGCAAGCCAGTGCCGGAGACCTACGAGTACATTCTCGACAAGTTACCCAAGGAAGAACGTGAGGTCTGGTTCGGCGCCGCACATATCTGGGATACAGCCGGTGCGCGGCAATGTGGGTAAGCTCACGATCACTTCCAGCACTTGGTAGAACGTAACAGGCTAACGCCCCATTCACTACTAGTTTCAAGGGTGCGTGGGTATCTGTGTGGGAGAAGGAGTCTTGCTCCGATTTATATGGAGAAATGGAGGTAGTCGCAGATGACCTCCCTGGGTTAGCAGAGGGCATCATTGATTATTATTCCAAGTAGGATTAAAGAAGAGACAGCCTAAAACTCCTGTACATGGGCGGCTACATTTTATGTGTACTCGTTGACTTTAATGAGGGACGACGACGACAACAGCAACGAAAACAGCGACTACAACGCTAACAAAAATAGAGAGTACACAGGAAAGATAGCCGCTCTAGCACAAGAGAAATAGTGGTTCTGTTAAAGAATATCGATCTATTGAGCTCATTTTCTAGCTAGAAAACGCAAGTACGTCAAACAGCCGCCCTGTTAAAACCTGCGTTGGTGTATGTTTTGACGTAGAAAGAGAGACTGTTTAAAAATTGAAGATGCAAGATTCTCGTTATCAACTCCCAGCTGAGTGACAAGCGCTCGATTTAGTTTGGTATCGACTTTGCCACAGATGTTAACTACCTAGCTGCCATGGTGGAGATGTCCCCAATAGATCGGGTGGAAGCGTTCAAGCGTTTCAGAGAAGATTAATGATTTCAATATGATGGACTACGTAATTTATGCACATTAAGAAAGCGAGGTTTAGTTTCGACTACAACTTGCCCCTCACATGCTGGACACCGTGTTCGTCTATGATAGAGTTCTTCGTGTTTTCCAGACGCTCCTTAGTGGCCTGGAATAAGGAGGGTATACCTGTCTCTGCAAAGGACTTTCCGTGGCGCAACATCTGCACCACTCCCTTGGCTGACAGCAAAATCAGTGGCATGCCGTGGCCTGAAAACCCCCCAAGGATGAATTGGCCCGGTTTTGCAGGTACCTCACCCACATACGGCATGAAATCAGAGCTGAAACCCATGACTGGAGCGACTCGTATTAGCTTGACTGTGCAAATCGGTAGTGTTCATCGTCCCTGAAGTTTGACTTACTACCAGCCCAGACTTTGTCAGTATAAGCACCGCTGTTCTCCCACCCACGAAATGTCCTCTGCATCAACCCGTCAAAATAAGTCCTTGCTGGCTCAATGAGCTTGCTGTCGTCGAACACATTGTACCACTGAGACCGGTCGGCCCAGAAGGTCGGCTTCGCGCCGCCGACAACAATACTACCATCGTTCCTGGGTATAAGGTAGTCGTACATTGACGGTCCGTGTCGGATGCTGTAGGTCTGCGACATGTACGGTGCTGTTTCCCCTTGAGGCACCACAATGCGACTGCAGATGCCTCGTACGGGCACAATATGGTTCTTGAACTCTGGGGCCAAGTGTGAAGTGTATCCGTTAGTAGCCAGTAAAACCTTCTTAGCCTTGATACTTCCTCGCGCCGTGGAAACCTCCCAGCGGCCGTCAGGGAGGGGATTTTCTGAGATATGAGTGACAGGGGTATGAGTCTGGAGGTTTGCTCCTTTCTGCACAACGCCTTTCAGCAAGTGCATTACCATCTTATACGGCCAAAGATGGCCCGCTGTGAACGTGAAACACGATAGGGCACCTTTTACGCCTGAAACCTGAGACTTCTGATCAGCAATTCTCCATGTGCCAAGCTCAATAATGTGCGGGTAGGGATTGTTTACCATTTCAGCCTGTGCCCGAGGTGTGTAATGCACATCCTTGAGATTAGCCACTCCGGACTCGACCAGCTTCGCGAACGCCTCCTCAGTTGCGGCAGCGAGACCCTCATCCAAAGTGGCGTCGCAGGTCCTGGTCAGAGTGAAGTCACAGTCTATCTTCTCCTTCTCTACGAGTTCTTTCACTGCAAAGACCTGTGAAGACTCGAAGTTGGCGACCTCAACCGCGGCGTCCACGCCATATTTCTCGATGTACTTGGGTATGTTGAAGTAAACATCAGGCTTCAGTTGACCGCCTAAGCAGTGGTGTTAGATCTCTTGTTATCGGCTGTTGAAATGGTTTCCTGAGTGAATTTCAGGGAGCAAAGGAAGTGGGGATAAACTTGCCGTTACGCCCTGTGGCACCTGAGCACGCCTCTCGAGCTTCCAGAATCACTACAGATGGAGGGGAAGGGTTGTCTTCGTGAATGTAGTGGGCAAGAGCAGTGCCAGCAAACCCAGCGCCGATGATCAAAACATCGCACTCGGCAGGAAGATGCTCGGTGCTGCGATGACTGTCCAACTCGCGGAGCTCTGTTCTCCAGAAAGGCTCGGTCGAGTTACCGACGGGAATAGGGCTTTGGTCCTCCATATCGGCTCTGACACTGTGCATCCTTGTATCAAATGGGCGATAAGAGGGCAGCGATGATAGAGCAACAAACCCCTTTATTATACTCTACTACTTATGATCAGAATACTTCCGCCGAAAGCATATTCGCGTTATCTCGATAGCCAGGAAACGCATGCTCCGTTATCGTCAATACTGCATGGAAATATCACCCAAGCACATCTCCGCAGAATAAATACCCACAACTGCTCCACCCCCGCCTTGGGGGCCGGGGCCCTCGGTGATACCCGCAACTTTTGAAGTTATCCACGGGAAACACCGAAGTGCTCGATTGACTGGGCGATACGGATAGTCTCTCAGGAAGGGGACGTATGCATCAGTCCATTGGGCGCGGTCTGGCTCCCGGCTCAGGCCTTCGGTTCATTGAGTAAGATACACTGATTTCTGGCTTGACAAGAATCCTGGCAACGCGGCCTCATCTTTATCTCTAGCGCTTGGCCAGTGCCAATATTCCCGAGATAACGGGTCACCGGTGGGAGCCAACATCCCGACATGCTTTGACCCAAGGCCTCTCCGCATTTAACACTTCATCCGTGCATGCTCTGTGGAATGACAACTGCAGAACTACCAGCTCGGTTCCAAACCACCACAACAGTCAGCAATCCATCGCCGTTGTTCTTATACAAGTGGACCCCAATGGCTTCTCCAGGTGCTGGCCCGCCGTCGATGACTCGACCTGAATCGAAGGATGGCTCCAAAGATGACGAGAAGGACCTCGGAATCGAGCCAGTGACCACCACTGAAATGGGCAATTCGGAAGGTAAGACGTTTTGACATCGTTTGGAAGTGTAGATCGACGCTAACTTGAACTCAAGAGTATACGGAGGAGGATTACAAGAAGTTGACGCGGAAGATTGACCGATATCTCATTCCAACCATGTAAGTTTGTTCTGCTTGATGTATCACCCGTATTCATGCTAACGCCAACACCAGGTTCTTCATGTATGGCATCCAACAAACCGACAAGACGTCCATCAGTATTCAGGCGGTATGTCTTCAACTCTTGACTCCAATGGCTTAATCATCTCGGCCTTACTAACGCAAGGAAGCTTTTTGGCATGAACACCGAGCTGGGACTGCATGGACAGCAGTACCAGTGGTTGACAACCATGTAAGAACACCACCTCTGCATCCGAGCTGGCTTCTCACACAAGTCATTAGCTTTTACATCACGTACCTCGTCGGCGAGTTTCCGTCCACCTGGTTGCTGCAGCGGTACAACCTCGGCCGTGTTCTGACCGCGTACATGGCTGGTTGGTGTAAGAAAGATTCATGCCTCCGAAGAGAAAGTTGCTGACAAGCTGCAAGCCATTTGTCTCCTCTGCATCAGCGCATGCAACAATTGGGCCCAGTTGATGGCGCTCCGCGCCCTTCAGGGCTTCTTCGAATGCAACATCTCTCCTGGCTTTCTCCTAATTACTGGCGCATGGTATCGCACGTCTGAACACGCCCAGCGCTCCCTGTTCTGGCAATCTTCGCAAGGCTTCTTCACAATAACTTGTAACCTGATCTTGTACGGAATCGCCCGACACGCTGTGGCAAAGGGCGACATTGCAGCCTGGCGCACGATTTCTCTCTTCCTCGGCGGGCTCACACTCATCGGTTCCATCTTTTGCTATTTTGTCCTTGGGATGCCCCAAAATGTCCCGTGGTTGACCGAAGCGGAGAAAAGAATGGCGTAGGTGCCTTTGGTATCATGATGCCTTGTGCAACACTAATGAGCGGCAGAATCGCGCGAGTCAGCCAGAATCAAATTGGAGAGGAGACCGCCAACAAGGCATGGAATTGGGATCACGTCTGGGAATGCTTCAAGGACCCGCAGGTGTATTTTGGCTTTTTCAATACGTTTCTAGCATGCATCCCTAATGGGTAAGTTGAAAAGCTTAGCTGCATTTGATGAAGCTAACAAGTGAGTGTCGTAGGGGCATTACCACCTTCAGCTCTCTACTCTACGTCACCTTCGGTTTCGACACATGGCAATCTATGCTTTGGGGTTTACCCCGTAATGGTATCGTCCTCCCTATTCCTGTTCGCCCCGCTCTTGTTCCGAGGCTTGGTTACTTGGGTAGGAGAAAAACACGAAGTTGACTCGAAACCAGCTATTTACGTTATTGTCTTCATCCTTGTCGCCTGGTACCTTCGGAAATTCCAGAATCAGCGCATGTTCATCATGATCATCTCATGCATCTTACCTTTTGTTGGTATGCTAGTGATGTCTCTGATGCCAAACACACCGGAGCACAAATGGCTCAAATGGGGCATGTTCGACGTTACTGTGGTCTTCTCTCTATCGCTGTTCCTCGGATGGAGTTTAAGTAGGTCTCGTCTCCTAAATGGTCGACTTATCTGACGTCAGTTCTATTTAGTTACCTCCAACATTGCAGGGACGACGAAAAGAACAGTAGTTTCGTCCATGACACTGATTGCATACTGTGGTGGGAATATGGTCGGTGCTCAGGTTTTCCAAACCAAAGATGCCCCTCGCTATGTCGGTGGCACAATCGCGTGCTCTGCCTGCTTCGGTCTTCAAATCTTGGTCATCATCTGCTGGAGGCTTTGGTACATGAGAGAAAATAGGCGCCGAGACCGGGCTCTGGCTGAGAGTGACATCTCTGAGGAAGAACAAAAGCGGCTCGGCAGTGAGTTGGGAAAGCGGGATACGACAGATTTGAAGAATCCTTACTTCAGGTACGCCATGTGATGGGAAGAAAAGAAGGAGTTGTCGTTCCAGTACAATGCGAAATCTAGTTCAGGACAATGCTGTTGTTCTTTTTCCTTTTCTTTTTTCATCCTTACGGGGCAAGCAGCAAATCGCCTGCTTTATTGTATTCATGCTCAAATCTTAAACCACCTATTCGCGCACGAAGATGACCTGGTTGAAGGCTGCCACTTGATAACGTGCTACCTGATGCTCAGTTATCAATTGAATGTTTAATCCGAGTTGGAAGTGACGCCTTTTAGGATAAGCAACCTTCCACCTTCAACTCGAACCACCTTTCCATCCATGAAAGCACCTGCCTTGCTCATTATCCAAAGCGCGCACCCGACCATGTCCTCTTCGTTTCCTGCCCGCTTGGCCGGAGTCTCGCCTGCCAAGCGCAGATTGGAAGTGCCGTCGTCGGGAGTCATTCCTGAGGGAACAATCCCAGGAGATATGGCGTTGATGCGAACTACAGAGTCAGCGAGGCCTTTGATGCATGGTCAGGCAGCGGTGCTCAATGTCTTACTATAGAAGTTTGCGAACTCGGCCGCCATGATTCTGACAAGATGGTCCACTGCGGCCTTGGAGGTTTGATAGCAGGGAACAAACTGGTGGTTATGCACGCTGGCCGGACTGCTGAACAAGATGACGCAGCCCCGTCCGTCTCCTTGTGTGGCTGCCGAGCCCAAGAGACTGATTAATCCGGCCGTTAAATAATATGGTGCAAGGACATTCAAGCGAAAGGTATGTTCCCAGCCTTTGTACGGCGCTGATAATGTCGCGGCTTCGAGTTGGCCCAGACTGTCGCCTGGAGTGTACGTAATGTCGTTCATGTATCGAACAGCGGCGCAGTGAATCAATGCATCTAACGATGTTCGATTAGATCTGATCCTCTCAACCACATCTTTGACCATGTTTTCGCTGGAAAGATCACCACAGATTCTGCCAGGAGGGTCAACGAGTGCTTATGTTGGGGCACTAGGGAGCGAGACGAACATCACCACTTCAGCACCTGAGTTTGAAGACGTCGCTAAATTCTCAACTTCAGTTTTGGTATCCGCGAGCGCCTTCTCATTTATGTCTATGAGAATGACGTTGGCCCCATTCACAACGCATCCTCGCGCCAGCATATGTCCAATGCCAGAGGCTGACGATGTCAGTCTGAGTTACGACTCTGTCTACAGGTGAGAAAAGCATAAGAGGGTTCTCACCTCCACCAGTGATTGCAACCCATCGGCCGGCGACGTCAAATAATTCACTAATGCGTAGATTCGCCATGTTGGAGAAATGGAGTGCGGACGCCGTGCAATGCCGTTCAGCCCGGCCGAAGAGAATTTGAATGCGTCTATCAATCCACGATTTCTCCTCTTTATAACGGCTCGCCGCTTAATTTTCCCAAAGTAAAAGCAGATGTCACCTTCTAGGATCACGAGGCGTCTGCGTGATTCGTGGCGGACGAGTGCGACAATGTGACTCGGAGATAGCCGACAAAGCTGGGATAAGCGACGCGATCCGCCGATCCAGAAGGTCTTGCCCAAGACCCGAATCACCCACCCTTGTCGATACGTGCGCGCAGTTGACAGGCTGTTCCACAGATGATCTTAGGTTTGATCGCTGGGACTTGACGTAACTGGACGCATATAACACTCATCGTCATCTTTCTTCACTGGGATTCGGACACCATGAGGCCTGAATGATACGCTTGTGCAATGTATCTTCCTTTTACGACTGGCATGCACACGACCGTGGCCTTCTGCGGCCTATTAATCGTTACCTTGTCGGCAGTTGTGTTGTTGTGTCTCAAGTTCTTTTATGTGGACTTCCCCGAAGTCAAGGGCATTCCTGAGATCCCTGGCGGGAGTTTACTGGCTGGCCACCTACCTCAGCTGGGCAACGACCATGCTACCACGGCAGCATCATGGTCTGCCAAGTATGGATGGCCTGTTTTCCAGTTTAGAATGGGACGTCGACGGGCTATTATGATCAATTCATTTGAGTCAGCCCGAGAATGGCTAGTTAAGAATCAGTCAGCCACCATCGACCGGCCATGGTTCTACACATTTCACGGAGTTATTTCAAAAACATCCGGTTAGTAAAGATCTTGAACGTATGAGCGCAGCACGCTCAGAAAAGATGCTGACTTTCGGTCGTCAAAGCGGCAACCATTGGCACATCTCCGTGGAATGAGAGGACCAAGAAGCAGAGGCGGGTTGTTGGCTCGTTCACGACTGGGCCAGCAATGAAGAAGATGCACGGGATGCTACATATGGAGACCTGCGCCGTAATCTCCAGGATCTACTATGACAGCCTGAAGGGGGCAGTTGATATCATGCCTCATGTGTATCAGAAGCGTCTCTCTCTCAACCTTATGATGATGCTTTGCTACGGTACTCGATTCAATTCGGTTCAAGATCCAATGCTCCTCCAGATTCTCGAAGACGCTAAAACGATTGCAAGGTAAGACCTCGGTTGAAATAGAGCTCCGGAAGAACATGAGAGTTAATCCAGTACAGCTTCCGATCCACAAACTCCAACCCTCAGGACTTTATTCCTCACTTGAGGTACCTGGGCACCAACCGGCGCACGGTCATTGCGACGGAAGTTCGAAACAGACGAGACAATTGGCTTGGCACTATGTTCAGTAATGTTCAGAAAAGCCCCAACAGACTACGACCTGGTGATAAGAAATGCGTGGCTGAAATGCTTCTTGAAGACAACCTTGAGGGCCTTACAAAGCGTATGTACTATTCAACGAGTAAGGTTCTGGCGAACGACTCACGCTAACGTCAATAGTTGATATCAAAACAATCCTCGGCGGTCTGATGTCTGGCGGTTTCGAAACAATCTACTCGACCGTCATCGTCACCCTTGGGGCTCTATCAACGCCCCGGGGACAGGAGATACAGAATAAGGCATACGCAGACATGATTGGTGCCTACGGCTCATATGAGAATGCATTTGAGCAATGCCTTCTCGGAGAGAAGAGCCACTACGTCTCCGGTTTGGTGAGGGAAGCCTTGCGGTTTTACCCGCCCCATAAGATTCTTCCAGCACGACAGGTCTATAAAGACTTCACTTATGCGGGAGCCACCATTCCTCAAGGGATGCTTATCTACATCAATAACCAGGCTGTCAATTTTGGTACGATTTCTGCTTGAAAATGCGATGGGTTGTCTCCAGCTGACTAGTGACGTAGACAAAGAGACGTATGGTCCTGACGCTTACGAGTTCCGCCCGGAGCGATGGATAGAAACAGGATGCGATATACCTCCCCCATATCATTTTGCCTATGGTGCTGGAGCCCGAATGTGTACGGCCGTCAACTTGGCGAACCGGATGCTGTACGGAGTATTAGTTCGCTTGATTCTCTCCTTCAAGATCACAGAGAGTAAGGAAATGCCCCCGAACGTCCATTATATCGACTACAAGGAGGACTCAACGGCATCCAATGCCATCTCCTCATTATTCAAACTTAGATTCACCCCCAGAGACCCGGGGATGCTCGAGGAGTGCCTCAAGAATGCGCACGAGAACCTAACAGATTTTGTTACCGGAGACAACGCAGAACCCCTCTTCTTATGAGAAAGTTACATCTAGGAATGTTGGTCTCGGGGATGTCCGCTGTCGAGGGAAAAGTAGCAAAGCAAGCAAAACCACGTAGTCGCGGGATGCAAAACTTGATAGAACAATCCAATAACAAAGCATCGCCCAGTTCTATTTCTCGTCATCATTGCCATCATCGTCCTTATCATCATCGTCGTTTAGGACCCTTTGGGAGCCCGTTATGAAAATTCCAATATGACTTCGAAATAGGTAAGTGTAAAGATAGAGTTAGAGTAGGGTAGGTCGAATGTATCTGAGAGCATAATATCAAGATTCAGATTGAAGTTCATTTCCCCTAGTGCATGTCTCGTGCTATCCCCCCTTCCTTCCACACTTTTGCATCCTTCATGACAAAGCTGACAGATCTGAGAGCCTTTGTGTTCTTCTCAGGATCCTCATCAAATGCCACAATGTCAGCTTGCAGGCCCTCTGCGAACCATCCAAATCGCCGCCCGCATAAGTCTCCTCCACATGCCTCCCAGCCCCCAACAGTACAGGACTCCAACACATCAACTAATAGTATACCAGCCTCAATCATCAACTCCAGCTCCCGAACGTTGTCGCCGTGCGGATAGGTTCCCGTGTCACCACCACAAGCTAGGCGAATCTTTCTTCCCTTCTAAGTTTTCTTCTTTACAGTTTGCCGCCTAGAGGCATACTTTATTAACTGCTATATAACTCTTATAGGGAAATAATTAAGGGCTAGGATAGCTTAAGTTATAGAGAAACCTTTATAGCTACTTATAGAGGTATATAAAGAGAGCGTAAATTACTAAGAAGTAAGTATCTCCCTTTTTATACTATTATAACCTATTACTCCTTTAATATTAAGATATTATTATTATACTATATTAATACTATTTATTACTACTTTAAAAGTAGTAATAATTTCTTTATAATTATTTAAAAAAACTAAAATAAAGTATATAGATTTTTATATATATAACTTAATCCTTTAGTATAAAACTTAATAGTATATTAAATATATTATTACTTTTTATTAATATACTTTAATAAAATAATATATTATTAAACTAAAGTATAGAGATATTTTAAATATATTAAAATAAATTTTAAAACGAATAAACTATATAACGTTAATTAAATTAAGTATTTTATATTATTAAAGTATAGTACTTTATTAAAAGAACTTAAGGATATATATACGATCACTATAGCGTAGTAGTAGTTAATAAAAGTAGTTAAATATATAGGGGGTAGTTAGAGTAAGGGGGACCTCTTATATATCCTTAGTCATATAAAAATTCACAAAAGAATTCTTCACAAAATGTAGGCGAACTCTAAGGTCGTGCGCCCGTTTGACTTGCTTTAGTATCTGGTCAAACCGGTGGGCATGCAGCTTTTCTGCAATCGCAAGAGTAGGTACCATTATGACTCCTTTCTCAATCATTCGCATAAACATGTCATCGGTGCCAAAGTAAACATGCTCAATGGTGTTGACCCCGGCCTCGATGGCTGCCAATGCGCCCTTCAACGTGCAGCAGTGCGCTGACACTGGGGCGCCCGCTAGTTCAGCTTCCTTGACGATCATGTTCATCTCTTCATGAGAGAACACTAAGTAATCAGGGTTAGGTTCTTTGGGGGGATGCAAAACACTTGGAATGTAGGGATGTTGCTGGGCAGGGGGCGATCTCATGATTCTCCGACGGTAATCAGCAAAGAATTTAATAACATCTGCTCCTGCTGCAATTCGTCGCCGCACTGCCTGCCGGCATTGATCGACCCCATCAACGGCATCCGCTCCGGCTGGTAGGCAGTGGCCGCCGGCGCTATTCTCAGTACGTGGCTCGAAAGACCCGGTGCTGGCAATCACCTTGGTTGCCACGAACAAGCGCGGCCCCGGGGCAAGTCCGCGAGCGATGGCGTCTCGGAGGTTTGCATCGCATTCTTGCATTCCCTCCGATCCAAGGTCCCTGTTGTAGGAAAGGAAGAAGTCAATAAGTATACCCGGGCATTATTGGCGGCAACCGGTTGGAAGAAGTTGCGTACCTGTAGGTTATATCCTGCAAGCAAAGCCGCTCGACAGTGGTTGACTCCGCGGACAACTCTTTCTGTCATGCTCTCGTCTCTCTTTTGTTGAAGAGCACCCGCTTCACTAACAGATATCAGTACACTCAAGAATAGTCCGAATACAGATGGTCGACTCACTCGTACGAATGCAAAAACACGTGTGTGTGTGCATCCACGAGGCCTGGCATCACATACTTCCCTCGTAGATCGATGTCTTGCTCTTGCAGAATGTGTGTGAATGGCCGCTCCTCGTCGTTTCGCACAAATACGCGGACAATGAGGCCAGTTGACGAATCAATGGTAATGGAAACATTTTTGCGAACTCGCTTGACTAGAGGGTCAAACAAAGACGAGGTATGCAATGTGTATTGAGTCATGATAATGTGATTTCGGTCAATAGCTTTATGTCGGAATTTCGTCGAAAAATAAAAATTGCTATCTGCTAGAGAGTGCAAGGAAAGGAGGTCAAGCGAGCGGTCTTGATATGTGGTATGGCGCGGTGCGATGCCCTTCAGTTTTCAGCTCACTGGGCGGCGGGTCAAACGAGTTCATTTAGTTGAGATCGCGCGTCGGATCAGCGCGACCAATTTGGATAAACTGTCGTGGAAAGCCGACCCCGCAAAAGATCTAGGAATGCCCAGCATCTCCTTGTTCCGACTCCAACAAAGGATATCAGCAAGACGACCCACAGGATATATAGCCATTTGAATATTTTGATGCTAGTAAGAACAGGAACAACGAGTAGCTCTACATGGCATCTCTCACCCTGCATCCAGCACGACCTCGGACTTGGCCACGTCCAGAAAATACGCCGCAATCAGCCCAGAGAACGCAATAACAATGACGAGGCCAGAGTACAGGATGGCCATTTGTAGGCCCAGCTCCCACTTGGTGTACTATTAAGATAGCAGGCCATTAGTAAACGCCAGAGAAGAAGGGGGCCTCCGAGAAGACGCATCGCACAGGTAAGGGTTGGCGAAAGTTCTGCACCCCTGCTGTTACAGCAGAAGCAGCAGGCCCCGAAATGGAACGTAGAGAGACGGTTGGGCACTTGTGAGAAGCCTGTTACTCGAGATTTGCATGATCATATACCTGGGCACGAGCTGACTCTCCCCCGGTCAGATCCAGATCTTCCATGATCGTATTGAGTCTAGCCTGTCTACGAATTTCGACCTAGTTATTGAGCTAACTCTTGAAAAATTGGGTTCTTTTCTTACGCAATTGCCGTGCGGTCCAGGTAATTGAAGAGATCCATCACCCATATGATGGGCACCAGAGGCACAGACGTCTAGCTTCCGAACAAGACTCGTGGACATGCGGAGCCGGTTACTATGTTGCAGAGATTCCGCCTCTGCCTCATAATTTTTGCGTTTGACGACAATATGGTGATCGTCGTGTTCGACATAGGTGCCTTCCTTTGCAATAGACATGCTGGCTAATATAGCGAAAGACGAGTTCAAGGCTGGTCAAAGGAGTTTGAGCAAGGTGTCAGCATGAAAAAAAGACTGCGTTGGATAATGTGTTCCATCAGATGTGACCCTGGGCTCACAGCAATGAAGCTTGCAACCATTTATAATATTCTACCTTTCATACCAGAGTCTCTGCGACCCATTTATACAACCTAGAAAGCCGTCACGCTGTTGGTGTTGCATCCCCCGAGGTAGACGGAGATCAAGTACTGCGAGGACTTTGCGCGCATCGGGACGGGCCCAATGAGCCGCGCAGCCATGGTGAAGCGACCAATCGCAGACCGACCGATGGGCCCTCTCACGAATTTGTGTTCAAAGGTTCAGGCGGATGTCTGTGATTGAGAACCATCAACGGGCACATGGCTCAGAGTTGATTGGCAAATACCACATGCTACGATATATGATCCACGAAATGCGTCAAGCTAGCTCATACCCACCACTCATTTCTTGCTCTATGAAGCATAACATCTCCGGTATCACGCCGATATTGGCTGCTCTTCGACAATAACGTTTGCTTCGGGTACTAGTGTGGCCCTACACGATTTCTAGGCGCTGAAAGGTACGCTGCATGAAGCGCAATTTCAGCTGAATTTCAGCTCAAGCCTTCTCATAGCCTTGTAAAGTGTACAACATCAAACATCTGGCGCAAACGTCTGAACGAAAAAGCTGCGGTTCGGGGGTTGGGGGGCATGATGTCAAACAACAGTGTGCATGAGTGTGTTGGGCCCCCAGTTAGTCAGGAGTGCATACTTTCAACTTCTATGTGCATTATTCAAAGAATGAGAGAAACTGCGTGAAAATGCAACGGCAATATTGAATGCAATCTGAGTAAACTAACAAGACGTGAGACAAACCAACTCCCGTTTCAAAACCCTGGCATGGTCCGAAGATCCGCCCACATACACTGGCTCTGCTCCTGCGAATCATCGCAATAGCCTCTCGCCTGCATCCTCGACATTTCCGTTGTGCGAATTGTCCACTTATGGTCTTCTCATAAGCCAAAACGAGATGTCGTCACACGATCAAGTTTGCCTCGCCTCTGCTTCTGCGTCTTCTCTCCGTCGTGCCCGTGACAGTGCCCGTAAACCCCGTTCTTCCCGGTCCACTGCCTGTAATAGGTCCTGTAGTCGCCGTTCGCTTCGCACATCTACCCATCGACCTTCCTGTCGCTGTGTAGCTATAGATGCTTGCAAATCTCTTGCACGTGCCCGCATCGAATCAATCTGTGCCCGTATACCGTCCACAATCGGATCCAACGTTCTCGCCACCAGCCTCCTCTGACCTCCACTCTCATGGGCCCCCTCATCTTCACTCTCCTCCTCATCTTCACTCTCTTTCTTTTCCTCGTCTTCATTGACCTTCTCACCATCTCCTTCCGTCTCACAAATCTCGCTCGGTTCAGAATGCTATTCATCATCCGGTACGGATCCATGGGCGGAGCTGGCATACTCCGAGGTTGCATCGGCCAGTTGCGGGTGGTCTTGAAGCATGTCACGAATAGTCGTTTTGGCGTTGTCTTCGAACTCCTTCTGGTCAAAAGATCTCAAATATCTCGTGTCCTCATCTTCAGCCTCGATTCTGGCTGACCGCGTAGGTTCCATGGCGGGTGAATTGTCGATGCCAGGTTGTCTCTGATTCATGGCGTAGTTGACTCTAGGTTGCTGTCTCAAGGACAAAGAACCACGGTTGTCTGGTTGAGGAATAGGAGGGAGAGAATGCATAGGAAAGTCTCGGGTTTGTTGATTCTCGATGAGGTCCAAAGCTCTATACAAACGCCATTGCTCGTACTTCGACCGGGCTTCGATTTCGTTCCAAGGAGAATAGCGGCGAGACTCGTTCAGAAGTCCAAACTGTTTCAACATCCATGCATCAAGTCTGACTCTGTTCTCGGCTCGCCAATTCGTATCGTACCAGCCGTCCAGGTCCTCGAAGTCATTGTGGGTGAACTCGTCAAAGGGATGAAGGGGCCGAGGGAGCTTTTGGTAAGGGTCATCCGAATCGTTGAAGTACTTTTCGCCATCCCAAAGCGTGGACCAGACCTCGCAGACCAAAGACTCAAGCAGCACAGCTTGAGGCTTATTCAAGATCTCTCCTCCGCGTCGGACAACAATCATAACGTCACAAGCATCCAGAGCATGACGTCGTATACCAACATGTTGACTGTCGACAACACCGTGCATGATTTGCTTTACGATATGATGGCGGACTTCGGTGCTGGTGACGTCGAGTATGAGCTCCGCGCCGTCAGCTCCAGGGATTGGGATGGTGATCGGGTTGAGAGGAACGATCAGATTGCCGAGTTCTTCAGCAGGTGCTGGTTCGCGGGTGCAAAGCTCCTCGATGGTGCGGCCCTCAAGATGTTCCATAAGGATGATGCCTATGTATCTCTTGCCTCCCTGGTATTGTTGCGCGTTGTCATCAGTCTCCAAAATCCAAGTACCGTAGTAGTCCGGGTTCACGGTTCCAAGACCGGTTTTGGTGCGCTTGTGAAGTTCTTGGAGCACGGCGACCTTGCGGCACAGATGGTTGTCAGCCCAGATTGGTTCATCGTACAAGGCTGCGTCTTCAGCCACAGCCACGATGTGCTGGTGCTTATCATCGAAGGTCGGCATGGGCGAACGACCCTCATTGGAAACCGGCGTCGTGATGGCTTTGCAAAGGAGCATTTGTCGACCATGGGCTAATCCGCCAGAAATGGTGTCGACAACTTCAATGACAGCAAGTTCGCTATCACCGAAATCCTTGAACGTGCTCGCATCGAAATTCGTGGGGGGCTCAGGAACGAACTCCTCAAAGGTATGGCCTCGTGAATCGGTTCCTGGCGGGTCGGGGAACTGGCCGGTAGTATGGGGTGCGCCTGGATTCAGGAACGGTCGAAGGATCATCTGCTGACCCTTGGCATACTTTGCGAGCGCTGCGAGCGCCTTTTGCTCTTCCGCGTCCATGAGATGCTGATGCCAGAATATGGCTGTAAGGTAGTGAGTTGCTTAATGGGTGGTTCAAGAGAGGGGCAGTCTCGTGATGATGATCGATGGCAGAGAATTAAATATTGCAGGTAACAATCGGATCCTTTTCTGTTGAGATGATGGGTTCGAAGGAAAAAGTTGATACCGGAACCTGATGGACGCAGGAGGAAAAGGAAGCGAGTGAAAGGTTGGCGGGAAAGTTGGCGAAAAAAGAGGACAAGGAGACATGGAAAAAAAGAACAGGCGAGAAACGTGTGCCAGGCTGAAGCGGGGCGTGGTGCAAGTGTGCTTTCAAGGTTCGCTCTGCCAAAACGGTCACAAACAAATGAGGTTTGTTTGCAAGAATGAAAGGCTCAGCACCATTGGTACGTATTTCCAGAAAATCTCCAAATCATACTCAGATTAAGCAGCTTAAGATAGATCCTGCCATCCTAGGGAGGCTTCATCTCAGCACACACTCGGCAGAAATCTATCTTCTCTAGTTGTTTCCATGGACCCTTGGATCCTGCGGTTAGTGAGGTTTGATGCACTTTGATGCAGGGAAGCAGGGTGATGAGACAAGCCGGGTAGACTACCTTAGTCCCAGAAAAGACGGCACACTTTTCATTCACCACTCACCGAAGTTGACGGTCTGGAGAAGAATTAGGAACAAACGGGATTCAAGTGCCTAAGAAATGTCTTCCATGACGTGGAAGCCTCAATGCCCATGCCACCATTTCCCCCGTTCGTTCCTTCTGGTTCTTTCCTTCCCGTCCCCCCCTTCCCTTTCCTTCCTCTTTCAACACAACAGGACCCACAAATTCCTCTCTCACTCACCACTTGACATAGGTGAACTTGCCTTCAAACTTCCCCATTTACTTCCATCCACGCCGACAGGCAAGCAATACCGCAGTAGAGCAACCAGCCCCTAAGTATGCGACTATCATCCGTTGAGTCCAGAAATATTGCTAACGCCCTGACAGACAACTACAATGGAAGGGGTGACTTGGAGCGATCTCCTGGACGGAAAGCCTAAGAAGACGAAACTGAGCCGCTACCTCCCTGCGCTGAAAACACACGTCAAGCTAAGCAACGCACCGGTCTCATCAACATCAGAATTCGTTAAGACCGAGGTCAAAATAGTGGAAACACCCACGCAGTTTCCCAGGGGGTTCTTCGGCAATTTTAAGACTCTTTTAGAGGCCGAACAGCTCTCCCAGTCGGCCATGGACTATCTAGTTGCAAGTTCACGGATCAGAGGCCACCGCGGTGAGGCTTCCTCCGACACAACCTTCAAAGCTCATTATCTTCCCGCACTCCTTCATGTTCTGGAAGAGAACGGCATGGACTTTGAAGCGATTTGGGGAGAGGCCGGCTACCTCTCCTGGGACGAGCAGTCTCAGATGAAGGTTGCAACTCGCCCAAAGGGCAAAGGTATCGAAACTTTTATCCCCGACCACACTCTCAACTGTACCAAGGATGAGCCCTTCACCGTTCGCGCCACTACGAACGGCGTTGCCATTCTGGAGGCAAAGGGACCGAAAATAGTTGCTCGATGCACGGAGGAGATCAACTACAAGTTGAAGACTGGTGCCAAAGGCCAGACATGGTCTAAGCGGACGCGACGTCTACTGCAACAAGTCTCGGCTTATGCCATAGTCTATCGACTTCGATACGTTGTTCTGTACGACGATGACGTGGTGGTCTTGATACGGTTCGATAACCTGAAGAAGTGGACCGGCAGGCCCGACTTAATATTTGGTCTCGGCAACGTCATGAGGATGCAAGTGGTCGAAGACCGAAACCTTTGGATTCGGTTCATTGCTCGGTTTTTGGTTGAGGCTGTCAAGGACAAGGCAATTGTTTGAGGAATATGTCGTCGGTTGTCCCTGTTGTCGGTTGTCCCTGTCGTCCTTTACCACTCAGATAGTAAGACTTGAGAGCAAGCCCGAACAACAAATATTCATAAAGAAACACCAGGTTGCATGCAGTGCCAGTACAGTAGTATTTGTGTGAGGGTGGCTTATGTGCAGCGGCTTCATTATTGGCACCTAGCAGCATGGCACCTGGGCCTACGAAGCCGCCATCATACTGCATTCTGTTTTAATTTACTTTAATTGATTATCGGAGTCTCTCCTATCGCCGTCGTTCTTCTTGTCGTCGTCGTCGTCGTCGTCCCTGTAGGCGTCGTGACTATTCTTGTAGTTGCTAGTGTTATCCCTTGACCTTATTCACCCGGATATTAGGAAGCCTTGGAAGCAACGCGTCAAACTGAAGGCTCATAGAAAAGAAAACACAAATCAACATTCTGCTTTAAACAACGCTTGTAAGGCAAAATTTATTGAAAATTTGCTGTCAGAAACGCGCCTGTATTGCGCATGGCTCCACATGTGGTGGCAGTACTAAGCCCGCGCGGACGGACTAATTCAGCATCTTTCACACGCGAAACAAGATGAACTATCCGCCGCGGTTTGCTGCCAAGCAACTATATAATATTCATGGCTTTGAGAGTACGGGCCACTTCAGACCTTCAACTTCTATCCGTCCCTATACTCAACAGCATAATAGCATTGATCATGAACAGCAACGGCTTCGTGAAGGATGATGTGAGCTGAAACACCCCATCCAATGCCAGCCTCGGGACAACAGAGCCTAAAATATCCATATATCACAGGGCGAATACTCCGACGCTAAACAGCAGTTTACCTTTCTCCACATGCCTGCCAGCAAGGTAAATCCCCCTTTTGGCATAATAACCTTGTAGTCTTGACTCAAGATCACTACATAGTACCATAAACCACACCTGGCGAAGGAGGAGCAAGAGGTCATGGACCAGCTATACCGAGGCTGGCTGCACTACTGGAATCATGAATCCCGGGAGGACTACCATCGCGGCATGCCCGGCGCCCGGCGCTTCTACGACTTTGACGACATGGTGAGCTACGACATGTTTGGGAACACGGTTCGCGGGAGCTTCAAGGAGCACTACGACTCCGTCTTCCCCTACTGGAACGATGGTCAGATGGAATACAAGGACATCGAAATCACGGCTCTGTCTGAAGAATACGCGTATTCTACGATGATTCAGCACACCTGGGGCACTGCCGGCGGCGTCCCATTCGACACAGCCTTCAGGCGGACGGGCATCGCGAGGAAGAACAGCGAAGGGCAATGGAAGTGGATTCACGAGCATCTCAGCTTCCCGACAGACATGGCCACCAAACAGGCTGACTTTACCAGCTCACTGGATCCCTTGAAGGCAACCAAGTTGAATTAGAGGATCCGAAATTTGCAGAGCGAGGATGGTTATCACTACATATGTTGATAGTTATATAGTCTCCTGAGACAATGCAATTACTTAGATTGTAGCACGAGGCTGCGATAGAGACTAAAGCAAGTAGCATCATGTATGTTCAACAGCAAACGTACGGTGAGTTGAGGCAAAATTGCTAGTTCAAGTGGAGACGAAATATCAACTCTTAAGCAGCACATCGCGTCTTAAGGTGACGTATGCAACCACTTTTCATTTTCAACAGGCAAGGTAACCTCCATCAACATTCCAGTGTGCTGCGAACAAGGTTGAAGCATGTCAGCAATTGGCATCTTACGAAACTTTGGCATCAGGCTCACCTCCAGTCACAAAGGAAGCCTCATCACTGAGAAGAAAGCAAATGACCTTTGCCACCTCGTCAGCGCGACCCATGCGGCGCATCAGCGTGTCCTTAGAGAGAGCATCCGCGTCGAAAAGTCCCTTGGCTTCGCCGTCGCGAAAGATCTTGGTGTCGATCGGCCCTCTGAAGTTCTCAAAGCTTAGTCAAGTCCTTTCACAGCTGTGAGGAACCTGGGCACAGGTGTGCCGTACTTACGGCAGTATGCTGTTGATTCGGATGCCGGCCTTGGCGTACTCTCCGGCGGCCGACTCCGTCAATCCGATGACTCCGAATTTGCTGCTGGCGTATGCCGCGCTATGTGGTAGACCTCGGCGTCCCGACGTGCTCGAAACGTTGACTATGGACCCGCCAGGTTTGGACAAGACCGGTAACTGAGCCCGCATAAAATTGAGGACCCCGTTGAGATTGACTCCGATGGTGTGGTCCCAGTCCTCTTGTGACTATGAATACCGCTCTATCGTCAATACATATTGCCAAAGTCCTCAGACTACAAGTTGATCAAAGAGATACATGGAATCAGAGAATTCATACAATTGTCTCAATGACGGTATCACCGGTTCCGCCAGCCACGCCGGCAACGTTTGCTGCTCCATCGAGCCTGCCAAACATGTTGTAGGCTTTCTTTATAGAGGACCTGACCTCATCGTCGTTCCGTACATTGACCCTCGCGGCCATGGTTTTCGTGCCGAGCTTCTCGCCTGTGCCACCCGTCGTCTTAGTTAGCCACTGCAGACATGTACGAATGCGGAAGCAGCGCGTCGGAGCTGGCCCGCAACTAACATTCCGCGGCTGTCCTAGCCAACCCTGTCTCATCCATATCACTGATTGCTAGAGCGGCAGCGCCTCTTTCGGCGAGAAGCATCGCGGTTGCTCTACCAATGCCCTAATGGCTCATCCAAGTCAACACTCACTCTTGACGACGGCATCTGCAGCCGAAACGCAGACGGCGGAACACCAACGGCCAAACAGAACTTACTGATGCAGCCCCCGTAACACAATAAGCCCTTCTGGCAAACATGATATCCAACGCACGTAATGCTTGTACACCGATTTGATAAGTGAAGCAGCGTCTGTTGCACTGCACCCGCGACAATTGAACCGCGCATCAAACCTATAAGGCGAACTCGGTGATCGTCAGGTTGGCACCTAGGTGGGAGTGGCGTACAAGTCCCGAGGTCGCTTAATTGTGCCGTGACCACCCCGGGCGAATTACCGGGCTATCTATCCCAAACTTGGCATGAACAGTGGGAGAAATGAGTCCGAAGGTGCGTCGCTAGGTGGAATAAAATCGGGAATACTGAAAATGACGTGCCTCTTCACGGTTTGATCAGATCCTACGAACTGCGAGGGCATTTGCCTGCCGGTTTACCAGACAGAGCAAAAGAGGCGAGAACGAATGACGAGCTGACCGCTGTATCAATTCACACCCGTTCCCTCACCACAGCCTTGCACTTTGCATGTCTGCAAAATAAACTCGAATTTATTATATTCAAATCATCTACAATTTAAAATACAACCATGTCAGGACCACTAGCGGCTAAAGTAGCTCTAGTGACTGGGTCTTCATCAGGCAGTAAGCTATCAAATAGTATTCCGTGCAAGTAATGGTGAGGCGAGCTAACCACACCCCGCACAAAGTCGGGCGAGCCATTGCCATTAAGCTGGCTTGCTTGGGCGTCAAAATAGTCTCCGTCGACCTCCAGGAGCAACCTAACGCAAAGGGCTACGAGACAGACTTGGAGAAAACAACGACACAGGTCATATCGGAGTCAGGCGGCAAAGCCTTCTTCTTCAAGGCTGATATCACCGACGGCGAAGCCATTGAAGCGTTGTTTAAGAGAATACGACAGGTTAGTGAACGTTCTTGTCCCAGGAACCACCAAAAGGGGGAGTAAACCCTCCATGAGAGAAATTGGCTAATAGAATTCTTAGGAATACGGCCATCTTGACATTCTGGTCAACTGTGCGGGGTACTGGGCTCCATTCCATCTATTCATGGAGGAAACCGACGAGCTCTGGGCCAGGATGACGGCTGTCAATACCCTCGGCACGGCCAAGATGAGCCGGCACGCCATTCGCGAGTTTCTCCAACAGAACTACGACTCGAAATGGGGGAGCCGAGGGCGCATCGTCAACATCTCGTCGTGTGCCGGTGTGGTAGGCTTCCCAGGGGAAGTCGCCTACTCGGCGACCAAGGCGTCTGTCAACCACATGACACGAGCAGCGGCGCTGGACCACGCTAGAGACTTCATCAATGTTAACTGCGTGGCCCCCGGAGTCGTTGCTACAGGTTTGGCGAGGGGAAATCTAGAAGACACTGAGATACACGAATTGATGCGCAAGGCTACACCGTGGCCGAGGCTGGGGACAGCCGAGGACATCGCCGAAGTCGTGGTGTTCTTGTGTAAGCCTGAGTCTCAGTGGATGACAGGACAAGTGCTCGCCGTTGATGGAGGCCTGACCATTGGAGTGGCTCCGGCTACGTAATAGACCATAGGACATCAAAAGGTAGGACACAGTCTAGCAAGATGCAACTATCTTTCCGTGGACCATTCAATGAACAAAGGTGTAAAAGGCACGGGCTGAGTGCTATTACTTGACTGAACAAATTGATCATACAATACTTATCAAGGGTGCCAGCCAGATAGGTCGTCCATACATGCACAGATTCCCAAATAGGCTGAAATTTTCCTGAAGCAAACGAAAAGTCCTCTCAACGTTCAAGAGACATGAGTGTATGACAAGCATGTGGGAGTATATGACGTAACTTGTGACTGAAATTTTGAGGCCAGGAGAGGGGTTTGTGTGGCGATAGTTGGTAGCTCGTGTATATACTAACTTAAAAGCGGCAATGCTCAACGCATAAATATCATAGAATGCTGGACACCGTCCGCCGTTGAACTTTTGATCTCTTCTCACGCCATATTCTTCCAATACCACTCTTATGAATTCCCTCTTTTGCCTTCACTCTCCGCTTCCCGCAATCCACTTCCATGAACCAAAGTTTGTCTTCATTCAGCCATCCCTGTCATCCGAATGTTCACATCGCATCCTTTCCTGTCATTGCCTAAGCCTCGATATGGGTATTGGATACCGACAGGTGTGTTGGTAGTTTTACTCCCTCCTCAATTCCAGAGAGCATAGCTGGGAGAGCCAGGATAGCGATAATAGAGCCCAAGATGGATGCCATTGTGCCCAATGTGATTAAAGCCTCAGTTTGGATAGATGAATGAAGGCTGATGATCAGTGGCGCTCCGACCCCGATGTTCGCAGCCATGAAGGTGATGGGAAATATGAGCAACGCTCCAAAGAAGTGGTAAACCGCACGATCGGTTCTGGCGCGCAAGTTGGCGACAGCAACGCTATAGAACATGACTTGGACTGTTTCCAGGATGCCAATGACAATAGGGTACTTGAAGATCCGGAGCACGTGGGGTCCCCAGTACTCGTATACGCCGCCGTTGATGACGACAATCTCGAAGAGACACGAGCTAGCGAGCTCTATGATGGCGTATCGGAAGAAGAGCCGACGTTTGATGCCGCTGGCAATTTGTCGGTTTAAAAAGACGGAGACGGTGCCGTATAGAGTGGCGTAGCCACTGTACACCCACACGGGTTGCGGCACGCCCATCGAGGTGAAGGCTGTCCACTGGCCGGGGCCGTAGAAGTAGAGCATCAGCGCATTGTCGTAAATCGGCCCAAATATCCCACCAAACCCCGCAGCAAAAGCAATGATCACATAAAACCACGTCTTCTCCTTCTTTCGTAGATATAGCCCGTGAAGGAGTAAGGAGACCCAGATGGTGTAGCTGGTGACAACGACAATCACCTGCATTGGGGCCGAGACGCGCTTGTCAATTGGAGCTGCAAGCATTGTGTGAGGAATGTGATTGATGAGGAGACTCAACAAAGCCTGTCCACAACAACTGTCGGTTGGGTATGGACTTCAAATATGTGTCCTACTCGGAGAATAAGCGATAATAGCTCGGCTAGGTACATGGAATTAGTCCGGGTGAAGGCATAGAGGAGGGATGATTGCAGTTTAAACTACATGACATTCAAGCTATTTGGAATAAAAGGTCCGTCCGGTGGCTGAATGTTTCTGAATCTCATAGCCTTCTTTCGGAAAACCCTCTTTGGCTGAAACGGAAAGGACACATAGAGGGATACCGTCTTAAGGGAAAGCCTGGTTCCATAAGACACGTCATCTCAAATACCAATACATCAATGGGGCAATCGATAGGGAATTTTGATTGGGCCATCCATTTCTTCACAAATAATTGATCTGATCTGATCAAAAGCCTCAAGCGTACTGAGCCAAGAACCCTTCGGCGTCTGTGTACTCTCTCCTAATTGTAGCGACGTGTGCTTCACTCCTCGGCGTAATACGGGCCTTAAACTCCAAAGGCGCTTGTAGAATCCCAGGGTTATACGCATTTGCGTCCAAGGGCGTAACTTTACCCGTCTCTGGATCAAGGGGTTCCGCGAAGTCGAATGCCCACAGTAATTTAGCCGCGATGCGCCACATGTTGCGCTCAGCAAGATGAATGCCGGGACAAATCCGACGACCGGCGCCGTAGTTGTAATGGTCTCGGTTGCTCCACTCAGGGCTACCGGCATAGTCGTTGGCCAGCTTGGGGTGCTTCAAGTAGCGATCTGAGTTGAACGTATCATGACTGGGGTAATTTGCGTCGGTATGGTGTAGAGCCCACGTTGCGATGAAGACTGTAGAGTCTTTCGGTATGAACATGCCGTTGTACTCGTCATCTGTGATGGATTTGTCATCAACACAGGGACTACCATAGGGAACGAAAATGCTCATAATGGTGGAAATCTACTTACTCTGGCGAGTTTTGTGCGGCAAAGCCGTCACGGCACTGTTGGCTGCGAGTAAGCTTCCTTGCCAGGGATCGCTGCTGACAAGAAGGACCTACACTGGGCGCCATCGCATCCCTTCTTTGACAATGCAATTGATATAGGGCATCTTCTCAAAGTCGTCCCATCGTGGGGATCGCTCACTTCCGCAAACCTCATCGATCTCGGCTTGTGCCTTCCGCTGAATCTCGGGATGGAGGGCAAAGGCGAGAATCAGCGTGAGGAGCTGCGCCGCAGTGGTGTCAGCACCGCCCTCGATGATCTCACCCATGAGATTGGTAAAAGCATGCTGGCTTATAGAGGCTGGCCAACCCTTCTGCTCGTACTCGTCGAGCAGGCCGTCGATAATGCAGTTACGTTTTTCTCCATGAGCTCGCCGCTCTTCGACCAGCCGGCGTGCCGTTGACCAAGTTTCGTCCATTGTTTTTCCAGCGTCAATCGCGCGGCGCTTCCAGTACGCGAACGATGCGGGAACGTGTCGAAGGAAGGTGAAGACGTCCACTGGGGGATTAGCTCCCGGCTCCATGGAAGCTGTCCACTGCATTGCCAACCGGCTTCTTAGCATATTATCTCCTCATTAGGCCGAACTATCACCGTGTACAAAGAAGAGCGCCATACCTTGGTCATGACATCGTAAACCCCCTGTGAAGTGTGTCAACCCAAAGTGCCTCCAACAAATCACGAAAGCTGTTAGGATCGTGTTAAATGTGCTTACATGTCCCCAGAATGACTCGAAGCTGGCCGCCCTGAAGCCGTAGGTGATGGACGTAACTACGGACGCCGTGTACCTGCGAATATGGTTGTAGAAACCATCTGGACTATCCAGGAGATTTGTCATTAAGACGGTAGCTCTTCAAGACTCAATTGTCAGCTGATGCTAGCCATACAATCCAGAGCAGGGGCTTCAGCTTACTCTGCCTCCTGAACTCTAAAGTGCTGCTCGTCAAGTCTCTTAGGAGAGAAATTGTGGGAGATGACCTTGCGCTTGTCCCGCCATGTGCTATCCATTTGCTCGAGGGCGAGATGGTCGCCCCTCGTCAGCAATCGGCCGACATAGCTAGGAGGTCTGTCGGAGTAGACGCTGCCCTTCTCAACTAAAAGCTTGTGAATAGCCTCGCGGTCGCAAAGCACGATGATGGACGATGTACCGACTTTCAAGGAGAAAACGGATCCATATCGATCAGCCCACTCACGCATTCTGCTTAGACGTCATTAGCCAGAGTTCTCCGAATATCCGCCAAATCACGAGATAGACGTAGGAAGATGGACATATGCTGACTGCTTAAAGAACCCAGTAACTGGTATTTGATGAGCATTTCCGAGGATCGGCATGGTCGGAGGGCCAGGTGGCATGCGTGGATTCCGCTTCCCTATCTGCAATATCTTCTGAATCGCTAAGCCTAGCAACAATGTGAAAAGTGCAAGAGCCAACATATTGCGAAACTTTTCCTTTGAGAAATGATTGATATCAATCTTGGTGTTTGAGTTAATGGAAATAGACAGCCACAGTGACGTGTGCATTTAAGTATACTATTTACTAGCGATGGCGGACTGGTCTTTTCCCATGTTATGTGTATCTGGATTCATCTTTCACCTGCTCGCGCGTCACTTCAATTCGATCCGTTCCAACATGTGGTCAAGCCTCTTTGCGGCGATGGGCTAGGTCTACGCCGCAACGATGCCTTTCAACTCGAGCCCAGCAGCTGGCTTGATGTCTCTATCAGGCATGGTGCATGAAGCAGAATTCGTCCGGACAGGGGCATGGATCATTGAGAGAAATCAGTCCGAAACTGGGGTAAGGCGGGGTGCCAGATGCCCCGCGTTGTTGAACCAATTATGACTGCAGCTGAGTGTGGCACCGGCATCGTGCCCGGATTTAGGACAATGTTCCAGTCGATGCGAAGATCCAGAATCCCATCGAATTGAAACAGTCATCTGGTGACTTCCGCAGGAATAGGTCACTAGCTAGCGGCTACCCCGGACAGAATTACGTCGGTCTTGCATCTGCCATTGAGGACGCAGCCAAGCCGCACCCCTTGAACATCCCTGCTCATATGGTACTGCGGGGACGGGAGTAGCAGCCCATGCTTCCGAGAAATGCGCGAGGGAAACTCACTGGTGAAGTCTAGCTGTTACTTCTCACTTTTCTGCATTCAACTTGGACTGCTGAATGTCGACCTTGTCAGATTCTCGTATCGTTATATCTGGCATCGCACGAATCCATCATGGCATCTGATATAAGCAGCTCAAGAAATCTCAGGACCCCGTCTTGCAACCCGTACGAGGGCGAGATATCGGAGCTGAGCTGTAAATCTTGCAAGAGGTTGCGTCCCCCCAAAACCACTGGGTGAAACCTACAAGATGGACGTCATTTGCTAACCTTTGTTGCGTCTGCTTCTAGGAGAAAGGCGAAATGGTGAGCCACTCCTTCATGAGAGTCGTTGCAGTTGACTCGACTATCTGACGCTCGCCAGCGACCGCCTCCTGCCGCACTGCACACTTTGCGATAGGAACTCGCAAACATGCGTCTATCCTTCAACGCGACTGAAGCCGGGGCCTAAGACGGGTAAGTTGGTGAATCTAGGCGGCCGCTGTGGCCGGTGTCCATTCAAGCTGATGAAATGAAGGATCCCGTAATAAAAAGCGGCGACGCACAAGCAATATTCCTCCCGATAATGCCTCTCCTGACAGTCATGCCAAGACCGGAACCGATGGTCTTGCAGTCGAATCTGGGATCAACACAACAGAGTCACCCACCAGCGTCCTGCAGTCGCAGAAAGATGCGAGAAGTTTGTGGGAACACCACAGTGATATCACTATTCCGGAACTTGTGGATAACGATGAGGAGACCGATGTCTCCGAGTCCTCACACATATCTGGCACCAGATTCGTGCGAGCCATCAGCTTATCTTCAATGGTCCATCCTTCCATCAACCTAACGTGACTTCTCCGTCGCGGACCCCCTCTTCTACCGACCACGGTTTCTTTGTCAAATTAGTTGGATCGCAGAACACCCTTATGCAGGTATGCGAGTCATTAGATCTAACAATAGACTCGCTACAAAAGCTGTGCGTTAACTAGTCTCAACCCTCTGCTCTTCCATGGGTGGGCATCCCCATGACTGACGTGTATTTCAGTACCGATGCCTATTTCAACAGGATGGTGGCCTTCTCTCTGTTTCATGAGCCTTCCTTTGGCGACAAGATTCAGACTATAAAGAATAGTCTTCATCTCAAGGCATTGATGGCATCGATGTTTTCCATCTCAGCACGCTTCAATATCGGCCCCGATGGCGAGTCTTCGCTGACCTCGGCGATGTCAAATTGGCCATCGCCTGCTCATTTTCATCACCTAGCAAAGGGCTTTGTAGATCAGGCCCTCGATGAATATGATGATGAGCCTCCTCCAATATGTGTCACGCAGGCCTTGGTGCTGTGCACTTTCTATGAGCTGGCAAGGGGCGTCAGGGGCCATGCGTGGCGGCTGCTCGGCACCTGTGTAAGGGTGGCTTATGAGCAGCGGCTTCATCTGATTGACAGCATGGCACCTGGTCCTACAAAGCCGCCATCAACGCTGTCAGAGCTACTCAGTTGGTCTGAAATGGAGGAGAGACGACGCGTTTGGTGGGTCATTTGGCAAATGGATGCCTTCGCCTCAACAGTGCGCAAGTCGCCTGCCGCCATCGATCAGGCAATCAACGAGACTTACCTCCCGGTGTCCGACGACGCTTGGTTCCAAATCAAATACCAATCAAGCTGCTTTCTCGATCCTATACCAACTGAACGATCGAAAAAGTTGTTGAAGTCTGGTAACAACAGCGATATGGCTTGGTTCGTTGTCGTTAACTCCATTATGCGAGATGCTCAGGTGCTGGCTCGAGGAAACATAAATGGCGCCCTCTCAGATTTGATGCCCGGGGATGATGCGGGCTTTCATTCCCTCAAATACTACTTTCATGGCCACTTCAGAAAGGCTCAGTCCTCTGAAGATGGTCGGCAACTCTCTGTACTGATAAGAGCTCTCCAACAGACAGTTGCGGCGCTGCCAGGACGACTGAGCTATCAGGGAGGCTACCTTACCTTCGGAGATGTGCCGTACGCAGACAACCCCGCGCAGCCCAGATCCGAACCGCGGGAGGATTCAGCGCAGCACGCTGTCTTCCTAATGTCGCAGTTAGCAAGATTCATGATATATCACCATCTTGCTTTTGTTGAGATACTTTTGGGTACTATTTTCTCCGAATCCGGCGGCTCCCCGTCTTTTGGATGGTCTGCTACACCAAGGAGCGAGCGGGAGAGGCTATCGAACTCCGAGGGGCTCAGAAACTGCCTCGAAGCCTCCGACAACATATACGCGGTCATCAGCAGATCTTCAGAAACGCATGTAGAGTGGACCAACCCATTCCTCGCTAGTACGGTGTGGCTCGCGGCATCTCTGCAGATACTCCGCAAGGTCTTCGCCCCGGCGACGTGCGGTGACCTCTCTGAACAGGAGTCTAAGATTGACGTACTCCGTGGTGTGTGCCAAAGATACACGGACTTTTGGGACACGCCGCGTAGCCTCCTGCAGAACCTGGATACGTTAGAGGACCGACTTTTAAAGAAAAAGACGGAAATGGCTGCCATGGAAGCACAAAGTGTATCGTGCTTTGAATCGCGAAACACGGGACAACGGAGCTTTCCTGCAGCGGCGGATGTCAGCGGACGAAATCATGTGGAAAACTTCCAATTTGCAAGAGGAACGGGGCCTGAAAGCAACAACCCGCTTGCCCAGAGTCCGGTGGAGCCGCAGCCCGTGGACCGGGGTCACGGCGGAGGCCTGTCACTTTCACCGTATACCTCGATGAGCCGCGAAGATTGGATCGATAGCCGGAGGGATATCTTGGATAATATGGAAGCAGCAAACTACCCCACTGGAAACTTGGAGATGCCATACTTTAGTCCTTCGGAGGGATTCGCTGGGTTTCCCGAGTCTGATCAGGAGCTAAGTCTGTTCATATCTACGTTGGTAGGCTAGTGCACACCGTTTCACGTTGATATAGAAGCTCATAACGTGGTGTTGCGTTTGAAACCGATTTGTTATACCCCGGATTAATGTCATGTTCTACCCTAGAGCTCGAGCTTTGGTCTCAGGATTGGACGTTTCAATGGAATACTCCTGACGACCCGGGTAGAACAGGACGGCATGGACGACGACGACGATGGCGGCGATAACTACGAGGATGGACTTAAAATAAGTAACGGCAGTAAAGACCTCACTGGAAATGGGGATGACGTACTGCAGTGTTTATCATTCCAGATCGTACTCGGCTCGCGTCACTCAAAGCCTTCTCCCGGATGACAAAAACCAAGCAAAATTTCAGGCGATAAAATGGAAGGAATATGTACGTAGGACTTTAAGACTTAGGGTAGCGGGTTCCCGCTCTGAGTTCTCAGTCAGGCTTCGGGCGGACTGATTTCTCTGCCTCTTGTTTCTTTTGCGCCCGCTTTCGGCTCAACAATCGGACTATTCCATACGATAAGCAGAATTTGGCTGTTTCTGTTGGATCCGCTATAGTTGATCACGTAGAAGATGGATACAAAGGATAAGTTAAAATTGAAGGTTCGCAGTCATTCCAATGAGGTCTGTACAATTGAAATCTGGGCATCTCGGATCTCCCGACGACGTTCGCGAAACTTTTTCACTCTCCTTCAATACTTTTCAGCCTCTAGATACTCGTCGGTTTAGCTGTGTTCTCTCCCAAGCTTTGGCCCTGGTACCATGATGAAGTCATCCTGGTCGTACCTAGTACGCTTCGTCGCTCAGGAAGATGGCCAAGTACACCTCGGCCAGGTCGACGCCGGCGAATGGCAAGATGTCGGTCTCGCCACTCTGAAAAGCCAGCGTATTCCCGTCAAGCTAGTGAAAGGGAATGTGTTTGATGGATGCGTGACTGAGGAGGTAATGCATGTGAAAGAGGTAAATCAACGCCAGCGCGCCGTGAAATACCATTACCCTTGCGAATGGCTGACTTTCAGTATCGGATCTCCAGCTTCTTTCGCCTCTTACAATGGAAGAAGTCCCCATAATCAGGTGCATGGGGCTGAACTATCGCGATCATGCCCTCGAGGCCAACATGGAGATCCCCGAGGTTCCAGTCCTCTTCGTCAAGCCGAGGACAGCCCTAGCGGGACCATATCCTGCACCTATCAACGTTCCCCGGTTTTCCCAGGACTCTACGAGTGACTACGAAGCAGAGCTCTCCGTAGTGCTTTCCAAGTCTGGCCGAGACATACCGGAGAGCGACGCCATGGACTACGTCCTTGGGTATACATGTAGTAATGACGTGAGCGCAAGGAAGCAACAATTTATGAACAGCCAGTGGTGCTTTTCGAAAGGTATACAGATTCCTCGGCAGGTCAACATAGAGACCAGTCAGCGAAGATAGCCATACAATCAGTTGGCTGATACTTGTTTCGTAGGGCTTGACGGATCCTGTCCGATAGGACCAATTCTCGTCGCAAAGTCAGCTCTGAAAAACCCACATTCTCTGAGAATAAGAGCTATTCACAATGGCCAAACTGTTCAAGACTCAAACACGAGGTATGTACTTCTCCTTTGTAAAGTTTCCAGTATGCAACTGCAACTAATCACCGCATCATTCCGCAAAGAGAGATGATTTTCGACATCCCCAAGATCATTGCATTTCTTTCGCAAGGCACGACGCTAGAGAAGAGCACGATAATCATGACCGGCACCGGGCCCGGCATTGGCATTGCTAGGGATCCTCCGATATTTCTAAAGGACGGAGACGATATGAGAATTGAAATTTCGGAGATAGGGACTCTCGTCAACGTTGTTAAATATGAATAGTTCTAATAGTATTATGAGAGCTAGATGGTATGCAAATGAGCAAAAGATACTTATTGACGCGGTGCGCAGTTAAGACGGTTTCTTTTGCATTATCTGGGTCTGTTACGCGTGATACTTACATTTTTCGAACGATCAAATGATACCAATAACTACAGACGGCGTTCTATCGCAGCTTTCCAGATGCGACTACCATTCTGTAGATTCGGGCATGATTTAACAACAAGATCGTTTGGCTGAGCATTGAAGAACTACTTCGGCGGAACGAAATTCCCATGTTTCCTCACAAAGGGAACTGATACTACTGTTATGTGTCGCCGGGATCCAGAATGACCCTCATTACCTCCGACAACTTCTCAACACAGCTGTCCAAGTCATTCGATACCTTGCGCGCTCTCCAGGCTACAAAGCGGTCAGGACGGACCAACACCGCACCGGACTCCTCAACACCCCTCAGTCGATCCCAATCGAAATACACATCTTCCCAGTCCTGTCGAAAACCTACCGACCAAACCTTGATCTCACAGCCCCTTGCCGCGGCCACAGCCTTTGCCGCCTCCTTCCATAGCATACCTCCTGGCCCAGTAAGTATAGTGAAGGCTCCGTGACCGGCAAGGTCAATCGTCGACACCATTTTGCTTGGGATCGCTCTGTTGAGCCAGGCGTGCGGCAAGCGGCGGCCCGGATACGTGCTTGGGTCGTAGTACGCGACATCGTCCTCGGCTGCTCTTTCGGAAGGGCAGTAAGGAAGAGGCTCATCCTTGACATAGATACATGAGCTGGAGTAGAGCTGGTTCATTTCGATACCGAGGCCGTGAAACTCATGCGCCGTAGCGGTGATGGCTTGACGGAAGCTCTCGCGTGCCTTTCGACCCTCCCCTGTAGGGCTCAAAAGTAGCTTGAAGACGTCACTGCGCTCTTCGACTGTTTGTTCCATCATTCCGAAGGACTTCCAAACTGCGGAGTGCTTTCGAAAGGAGTCGTTGGCTTGAGACACAATGCTGACTCCTACTGGTTGTCTCTCGGTGTTGTAGGTATCGAGAAGCGAGCGGCCCGCTAAGCCCTTTTCCACATATGCAACTTTCCATGCCAGGTTGAAAGCGTCCTGAATGCAGGTGTTGGAACCAAGTCCATTCATTGGAGGGTGGCGGTGAACTGCGTCACCTAGGCAGAATCTGGATCCCGTGTGGTCAGCATATAGTGACTTCAATATGACAAATGCGATGTTCTTTCACTTACATATTACCCTCTGAGTATCTCTCAGCGACGATATCATTAACATACCATCTAGAAACCGAGAGGATGTCGACATTGGTGTCGTCTCCGATCAACGTTTGAATGCGGCCTTTGTATGCCTCGTTTGAAATTGGGACGGATGCATCGAAGCCGGGACTGGGAAAGAGGATGAAGATCCATTCGAACCATGGCTTCACCATTCGTGCAATGCCCATCCAGCCAAACTCCGGATGATCAACGTCAGGCTGCATCAACCAGTGCAGATTCCCGCTCCGGTGTTCCATCAAATGGGAAAGGTCGGCTTTGACCAGTACGTTGATTGCGAGACCGCCCCCGGACTTGGCAATGAGTGGAATCTGAAGCGTCTTGATTGTGAGGCTGCGGGCGCCGTCAGCCCCGAAGATATACTTCGTTCGTATCGAGAAGTGGATCTTGGAAAGGTCATCCCAGACGTTGACCAAATACTTTCCGTCCGAGGGGTCATGTTTCCAGGACACAAGTTTGGTGTTGAACCTGACGACGAAGCCATGATGCGACGCAAACCGAGTCAGCACCGGCTCGAGCAGAGTTTGCGGGATGTCCACAGGATCGCAAGGACTTGCAAGTTCATAGTCGCCCTTTGATCCGAGTTAATGCCAGTTCATGTCTCGGCAATAGCGTGCACATAATGTGACGAGAAGAGCGGGGACTGTACCTTTCTTCGGGGATCGTTTCCCCAAGATGGGATGCGCGCCAGCTCTTCCCCCGCCATGCTATAACACCAGCGCGTGTGCTGCATGCAGTGGCCTTTCGTTGCCATGGAGCGTATTTCCTGATCCAGTCCAATGTCACGCAGACACTCTGAGATATGAGCCAAATATTCCATCACATCGAAGCGAGAACACCCCCAAGTAACGTACCTAGTGCGGCCATATTAGTGATATGGGCGCGCGGTGTGTCTGCTGTCCCATGACTTGCGCTTATCATGATACCTCTCAAGCCATGCGACGCCAGGAAGCAGGCCAGCGACGCGCCTGCTGGGCCTGCTCCGACCACGAGGATATCCGTTTCGCATGAATTTTCGAGCATGTTGAAGTCGCCGTTGATGTCCATGTGAGGGGAGACGTGATGCGTCGAATGAGGAAGAGGGGATGCTGCTGCAACGGATGGACTCGGTTTTGGGCGGAATGAGATGGTTGGACCAATCGAAAGAAGCGAAATGAACAGCGCACCGGCAAAGCTACACGTCGGCTGACAACGCGATCAGAAAAAAAAGGCCAAATCAATGAAGTTCTAGTATTGGTCCTGGATTCGAAACACTGGCTTTGTGCATGTCGATGAGATGATCGGGGCCACAGGCCACATCCTGGTGGTAACAGTCCAACTTGGGGTCGCTGCATCGGAGTGATTTCTTCTCAATCGGTTCAATTTTCCGCCGGCACATTCACGCCTGTGTAGTTGCAACACTGCTTGAAATCTTTCGTCAGCACTCAATAGCATAGCTTATCAATCTAACTAATATGACGATGTTGATCTGGATAAATGCGCAAGACCGGAATGGGGATGAGAGTAGTAGACTTTGACATGCTGCATTGAAATCCAGAGCCAGCCTCCAACCTATCCCGCACAATCTCACATCTCCGACGGTTCCATATTCATTGCTTGAGCCTCAATTTGACTCGAATTCTCGGTACGAAGATGTCTGGAACCATCGCCAGCGGCTCTACAGAGGCGACTTCCGCTTCTGTACGCAAAATCAACCTCGTCCGCATATCGCATATCTATTACACATACAAAGACTTACAGAGGGCGAAGGCTTTCTTCGAGGATTTCGGATTTGTCGAGGCTCAAAGAAGTAATGGCCGCGTCTATTATCGCGGCTACGGGGCAGAACCTTTCATCGCCTGTGTTTCAGTGGGCTCCGAGGATGGATTCGGTGGGGCAGCCTTTGCTGTTGAGTCCGAAGGTGATCTGATTTACGCGTCCGAAACACTTCCTAGCGCTACGAAGCCTTACGACTTGACCGATGCTCCCGGGGGAGGAAGTTGCGTTTCCTTTCGAAGTTCGGTTGATGGCTTTTCCTTTCATCTTGTGTTTGGACAGAAGATGTTGAGCACGAATGCTTCATTTCCTGAACTGGACTTCAACTTTGTACGTTCTCGGTGCTCAAAAAGTTTCGATAACTTAACAGAGGCCTAATATTCGCCCAGCCAACCAAGAAACACAGGAATGCAGGCACTTTCCAGCGTTTTGAGAAAGGTAACTCCAATCAGAAAGATCAATCTCTATGGCGAGAGTGACTGCAGAAGGCTCACTTCCTTCTAGGGCCTGCACTAGTCCACAAGCTTAGGCACTTCGGCGTTTGCGTAACTGATTTCCAGAAAACATACGACTTTTTCATAAGTCGTTTTAATTTCATCCCTAGCGACGTGAGTTTACCAGAAACTCCGCGAGGAGAGCAGCACTAACACTAGCTTTAGTTAGCTCCTATATATTATAAACTAACTATAACGTACGTATAGTATCTATGTAAATAAAATAGCTTAATTCCTTCTAAATTAGAGTCTAATATAAAGGGTCTTTTAAGGAGTAGATCCTAATACGCTAGAATATTATTAATCTAAATAAGTAAGTTAGAAATAGATTACTTTATACTTTCTTTTAAGTATAAAGCTACTTTAAATACTTAAAAGTATTATAATATATTTTTTTAAGTTTAAAAAAGCTTAAAAATCTTAATTTTATATAATTAATATTATAAAATCTAAATATATATATAAAATATTATAAGTAGATATAAAAAGAAGTAATTAATAAAAAAAACTAATAAAAAAAATAACTTTATAGCTTTATTATTAAATTATAAAAAAGAAAAAAATCTTTCTCTTTATATACTTTTTATTATAATTAAAATTATAAATATTAAAGTAATAATTAATATTACTACTTTATTATATAGAGATAGAGGTTTTTTATTAACTTAAATAAGAAAATTAAAATAATTATTAAAGTAGTAAAGTAGTAATAATAATAATATCTTTTATATTACTTTTACTTTTTAATTTTCTTTTTTTATCTATATTATAACTAATATATATATTACTTACTTTATATTTATATATAAATATATAGTTATATAGTAATTATAATATTTATTATTTAATTATAATTTTATTTTTAATATTAATTATATTATTTAGATATTTCTTAAAAAGACTAAAGCTAAATATATAGCTATAATAGCTAAAATAAAAACTACTTTTATTAATAAGAAGTAAAAAGAGAGAAAGAGAGAAAAAGAAGAGAGTAATAATACTTTTTTAGTTTTTTTAGAACTTAAAAGCTTTATACTTAAAAGTAAGTTACTTTATCTCTATTCTATTATCTTAAAGTTCTCTTATTATTATAAACTTTTTACTTTATTTTATTATTTTTATAAATTAATTACTAATTTAGGTTACTTTATAGAAACTAAAACTAATAAATTTAAAAAAAGTAAAAAGTTTATAAAGAGTAAAAAAACTAAAAAAGTATATAATTTATAATTTATAACTTTTATTCTTTTATTTATTTATAAATTATACTAAAAGTATAAATAGAGTATATCTTTAATCTATAGTTTTAATTAAGTTATTATATTATTTACTAACTTCTAAATAGAAATAGAAGTTTTAAAAGCTAAAAGTTAAGAAAAAGAGTAGCTATTACTACTAAATAATAAGATTTACTTATTTTATTTATAAAACACTTAATAAAGTATATTATTTAGTATATATATATTTAGTATAGAATAAAGGAGTAAATATACTCTTTATAAAGAAAAAAAGAAGCTATATATCTTTATATTACTACTTATTTTTATACTAAAGTTTTAATTCCTTAAAGCTATATATAAAGATATAAATAAGATTATATATTCTATATTATAACGTTTATATTATTAATTATTTAGCTAACTATTTATTAAACTATCTTTATTCTTAAGAGAATTATACTCTAAGAAGCTTTTAAAGTTTATAATAAAGTTAAAGTAAAAATTAAAATAAAAGCTAAAGCTAAAATAGAAAGTAGAAATAATAATAAAGTAGCTATTAAAACTATAGCTTCTTTTTTAATACTAGCTATTACTTTATTAATTAAGCTTATTATAAAGGATATATTAATCTTTAATATTTTATATATTAGTCTATTTTTTAAAGTAATCCCCTCTATCTTTAAAGTAGTTAATATTTATAATACTATTAATAGCTTTATTAGTAGATATCTTCTTAAGAAGATAAAGCTTATATATAATATCCTTATAAATAACTATATATTTACTCTTTAGGGATATAAATAAAGTATAGTAGTTATATTATTAAGTATTCTATAAAGTATAAATATTTTAAGCTTTTAAAAAAGCTATATACTTCTTAGTTATTAAGCTATTTTTAATTAAATACTTAGCTTATAAGCTTTACTTCCTATTTATTTTTTCTTTTTTATTTTACTTTATTATTTATAATATATCTTAAAGGTTTAGAAATACTTTAAACTATTTAAACTTTATATAAGAAAGTATTTTTATAAAGCTATTAGCTAGTATCTTATTAATAAAAAGATATATAACTTAGAATAATTATTTAGTATATTCTTAATAGAGCTATATATTTTAGATATCTATATAGTAGAAATAAGTTAAGATATATTCCTTTTTACTTACTATAAATTATATTATTTACTAATTATTATAATAGATCTTCTATATATCTCTAAAACTAAGTTTAAGATCTCTAAAAAGTTATTTAAAAGCTATAGTTTCTTTTATAATATACTTTAAGTTTAAAAACTTTACCTCTATTATTAATATAGTTACTATACTTTAATATATAGCTTTTTATTAGATTAAGCTTTTAAAAAGAGATATTATAAAACTTTAAAATAACTTTTATATCTCTTTATTATTAGTAAATAATATATTACTTATAATTAATAATATTTAAACTACTTTACTCTTTAAGATATTAAAGTGAATTATAAAATATTAAGTATAATATAAATATTAAATTACTTAGTTTATAACTTAATAATATTTTAAAGATAGGTTTATTAAGAATTATAATAATAAAATATAAGTAAATATAATATTTAGCTATATTATAATTAAAGTATAGAGGATTAACTTAATCTTCTCTTAATATAAGAGGACTTATTATAGGTTTACTTCTCTATTAAACTTCTTAAGTAAAATAAAGAGAAGAAATATAATTAGTACTCTAAAATTAATAAAGTTAAACTTTTTTATAATTTACTTAATATATTAATTATATAAAAAATAGATTTTTTATATTATTTAATTATAAGTAATCCTAATTCCTAGGTATTATTTAGCTAGCTTTTAGTTTTTTAGTTTATATTTCTCTTTAATCTCTTTTATAACTTTTTTTACTTCTTTTATATAGTTCTTATAATATAAAATAAAAATATTATTAATATAAAAAAATATAAAAACTTTATTATTATAAAACTAAAAAAGATATAAGTTTTTACTTATTAAATATAATTTAAAATAAAGAAAGATATTTAAGAACTCTTTATATTAAAGTAAAAAAGTATTATAAAAGTTATATAAAGTATATTAAAGTTTAATAACTTTTCTATCTTTCTTAAAGCTATCTAATAAGTAATAAGTAATAAAGAGGTTATTTAGCTTATATATAGTATTTAGAAATATATTAATAATATTAAACTAATAAATTTTAAAATTAAATTATACTATAAAAGCTATTATAATTTTAAATATTTTTATAATAAGAGTTATAATATAAGTTTATTCTAAAAAGTGCTTTTTTAGAGGTTATTTTAAATATAAATTCTAGCTTTATAGTAATTAAAATATCTATATTAATCTAACTTATATATAAATACTTACTTAAAAGGTATTAGTTTATTCTTTATTTTTAATTTATCTATAATATCTTAAATACTTATTTCCTTAAGTTTATTAATTTTAATATTATATATTTTAATAAAGTAGAAGTAGAGTAGCTTTAATATATATTAGATATCTTTTTAAGTCTTAAGTAGCTTTATAAGTTAGTTAATATAGATTTTTCTATTTAATATTATAGATATATACTTTAGTTTTATTTAGTAAACTAAAATAAAAATAAAATAATAAAATAAGTAGTATCTTTAGTTTACTTCTTTAAATACTTTTTATTACTTTAATATATATATTTTAAAGAAAATATCTTAGTTTTATTTTATTTAGAGGAATATAAAATATATTCTAAAGTAAAGAGATCACTTTAGTTTTATAATTTTAAGTTAGCTTAAGTTAATATAGTTATATATTTACTTTAATTCTTTTTTAGTAGTACTCTCTTTTTTAGTTCTTAAGTATAGCTATATTAATTAAATAAAAAAGTTACTTTATAAAAATAGTTATATATTAATATCTTCTATATTTAGATTTTATAGAAGAAGTATATCTATCTAAATATATATCTTATTTAGGATTATATTTTTAATAAAAGTTATATTCTTATTAATATTTTAAGTCTTTTCTACTATATTACTATCTTAAATAAAGTTTAATAATAATATTAGATTTAATACTTTATATATTTTAGTAAAGTCTAAGTTTAATTTAGAAGTTAGTATTTATCTCTTTTACTTATTATTAACTATTTTAAGTTCTCTTAATAAAGAAAGGTATAATAATAACGTTTTATTATTTATTATTAATATAAGATTAGCTTTACTTTATACTTTTAGAATTTAGAGTTTTAAAAGTATAAGGGATATTAATTTTTATATTTTATTAGTAACTAAGTAAGTTTCTTTATTTTAGATTACTATTTTTATATTATTTTTTAAGTAGAATATCCTCTTATTAAAGGTTATATTTTATATAATAATAACTTCTTAAAGTAAAAATATTTAGACTTTATAGAAGTTATATAAATTTACTATATAACTTATTAAGTATTTAATATATTTTTATATTATAACTTTAAAGTTATATTTATTTTTATTTATTTTATATTTTTTTTAAAGGGGTATATTTTATAGTTATATATATAAACCCCTCTTTATTAAAAATAAGAATTAACTAAGAGGTTTACTTTATAAGTAAGTTTATAGTATTTAATATAATCTCTTAATTAATCTTCTTTAACTTAAATTAATAAGAGCTAGCTATAATATTAGTAAAAGTTTATATTATAAAGAAATACTATAGTTTATACTACTTTAATTTATAAATTAGATAGAAGGTTTATTACTTAAAGTATTATAATAGCTTTTATAACTAATTTTTAACTTATTTATTTTATACTTCTATTTAGTTCTTTAATATATAAAGGAGCTTATTTAACTTTAATCCTTATTTCTAATACTTAGATTTAAAATTCTAATAGTTTATTAATTATAATTATAGTATACTTATTATCTTATTTAATCTTATATAACGTAAAGCTATATT